CCCCAGTCTATGTTCAAGACCATCCGTCTCACTGATAGTAGAATTTCGAGGCCCATGAAAACAACAAGTTTTGTGGGTTTGAGAGCCACATCCGTGCCCGCTCTCATGTTAGCTTATACTCATTATGCTTCAACCTTTGTTTACCAGGGAAACTGTCTGTCTCGGAATTTTTACTCGCGTATCCAGATGTGGTCAGATCAGAATTCAGCGAAAGCCCTGCTAGATAACTCCGTTCCATCGATGGATGTATGAAGATAGAGGTATTCAATCAGTGGTTACAGCTACAGCCAAACAACGCCGGGTCGCAATTCCCTGACGGCTTTGTAGCAAATTTACGTCTTTTTCAGTTTGAGGCCTTCCTGCAAAATCTTACACCGTTTCGACGGTCCATGGTTTATCTCCAAAGTGATTACGCCTTCTCAAGTCGGTGGACATTTCCTTTCTATCTGCAGTCGAACGTGGAATAGGTGATTGACTAGTCTCCCACCAACCGAAATTCACCTGACATCTTCCTAGCAATGACGCGAAATTTCGTAGTCCGGGTTGCCATGATGATTAGAATTGTTCTCGTTCAACTCACACTCTCTCACACACACATCTCTTCCTATTTTGTTGTCGGCAGTTTATTGCATCAGTTGAGTGTCCTCATGTGACCCGCTGATACTACATCACGGCCTACCATTCAAATAGCATTGGCTTCACGAGTCCTGGATGCGCACATTACCTCGCAATGGTTTTGCAACCGCGAATTAGATCCGTTTACGCACACACCTCTCACTCGTGTTCACGCAGTGTGTATTACTGTTTCGGCAAATGCAAGAAAAGTCATTTGACATATCGCTTTCAATAAAGTTGGATTCAGGGAACCTTCCATTTGTGCGCTTCTGTTTCTAACATGGCATCTTGGATAAATAACGAGACGAACCTATGGTTTGACGTTATCTACTTCTTCTGAAACTCAAGTAGATGCACTCCCTAGCCGATTCAACATAACGCCAATGCAGCCGCAGACTCTGGAACTTAATGTGTAACTTCTTTGCATCTATTTTACTCAGTTTCCGATGTGGACAATACATTTTAATGTCCAAGTTTCCGGGTCCGATTCCCTATGGGCACTCCCAACTTCACTACTACTCCCCATCTGTGCAATATTATAGGTGCCCACTCCACTTAATATAGATGTAAAATTCACCCGAATCCAAACGCGACGTATAGTTCAAATGTCAGTATTGAGCCTATTGTTCTCCGATTGTAACGCAGATGGATGGTCTTCTGAAATACACACGACTGAACATGGCAAAGTCTAGGAAAAAGGATGAAATAAGACTGTGGCACGTGGTCTGATAGACAATCTAATCAATGCGTTTCATGTCTGTACGTCATATCTGATCTGCTTTGCGATCCGGGAAATCTTAATAGTTGATCCAAGCTTCAATCCAGCATACATGCGCGAATCGCAGGTTGTCGTTGACTGGAATCTGGCGGCAGATCCCCCATGAAGTCCGAGTTATTCTTAGCATTGGTACAATCACGCTTAGTGCACCGGACCAGCTGATTGTTGTATGTAAAGCCGTTTGAGAGGAACAAACGTCAACCTGTACAGAATAACTTAAGAAAACCATCGAACAGGTACAGTTGTGTGTAATTCATTTGAAGATGGGTTTTTGATTGCTCAAGTTTCGCTTTCAGTGGCGTTCGATGCAAGGTGTCTCGCAACATGTCAAGTCACGGTATAACTCTTATTGAAGTAACTAAAAAGGAAACGGTTGCTCTTACATAGGGTGCCGATTAGAGTGGCAATCTTTCTATGATCCTGTACACGCAGTGGCGGAAATTCCTGTTCCATCAACAGATCGCATGTATTATTGATCATTATTCCCGCGCCCCGTCATTGAAATGAACTGTTTGGTTCAGGGTATCCTAGATCGTTCTCAGTTATCCTGTTTTTTTCTTTACTTGGCAAATTACTGTTAATCATAGTCAACCTAAGTGAGTTCGGAATAGAAACACCTAATCTCACTGGGTTGGAAGTGGGACTTGGTAAGGTGCCGAGTTGAGTGCTTATCCTGGTGTGCCTAGTCAGTGTGCTGAAATGGAGAAAGCCAGGCCCAGAATCCGCACGATGGAACCGAATTTTCGAAAGCTTCGATGTGTCCCTGATGGACTAAAGCAGACAGGCAACTGGGTTCAGGGTACCAGTCCAATCTTTTTAGCCCAATCTAGGCATCCTGGAGTCTCAGCGATGCTAGAAAAGTATCCCACCAGGTTTTTCTGCTAGAGGTATTTTTGCTTCAGTGGACGATGAAATTTGGTGATGTGCAAAAATATGAAAGTAGATGGGAATGGATTGTAGTTTGAGCACAGATGCAATGAAATGCAACATTTCAGCGCTAAACGTTTTACTCCACCCGCGGAGGTTTTGCAGCTAATAGCATTGTGCGGCTAATGGATCCCGGTGAAGTACCCAAACTCTCTGTGTAGTCAACTCACAGGAGACTGATTGGAGCCAGTTGAAAGGAATGACAACAGCGAAAGAGAATAGCATCATGATCATCCAAAGACCTCTGCGGGTTGGATAGGAATAGTCCCGTTTTGAACCAAAAGCTAAATCTTTTCACGTCAGACTTGGTTTGTTTGTGACCGATCGCTATTCATCAGTTCATTTGCTTTGCTTCCTTGCCGTTTGCATGTTCGTTTGAAGGAATCTGGTTACCTAATTTTCTGATGTCAGTTGCGCTTTTAGCTTAGACTATTAATGCCCACCACTTAATACAGCCACTCGCCCCTAGAAAGAGCATCCATCGGCTTGTTGTTGCCTGTCCTTCTATGCAGGGAACGTTTGGCCTTACAGAGTCTCAAACGTACACCATTGTATCCTTGTTTTTTACTTCGTTATTCGGTCACTTCTGAACTCTGTGACCATCGTTCTGACTGTCGTTCAGACCTAATTAGCCCTGGATGGGGTTGAATTTTATTTGTAGTGACAAGGTCTCAGTCGAACCGGTCTACCTTCTCTTCGTATCCACCATCGTCTGTGTAAGCTAGACTGGTGGATCTGTACGAACACACAATGCTTCGTGGTGTTTCCCCAGCATGGTTATTGTCACACTGTGCACGTACTCGTTGAGGGATAAGGTTATTTGTTACGTTATTGTTTGTCTTTTGGTCAGTATGGTTTACTTGATTGATGCGTAATACACTTGAGGCTTCAGTAGTTCATTCAGTGATGGCATCTGACTGAGGTGAATTCGAAGTTATTCACAGTGCTATCGTATCTTTCTACGTACAATGCAGCCAGATTTCAAGCGAAACCAGCGACTGCTCGGTATGGTGTTGACGCGACCCGGTAAAAGTAGGTCAGACGCGAATGTGTCCGTAACGCAGCTAAACTGGTCTGACATGAAAGTTATCTATCTTGTCATATGAACACTACGGTTGTTATGAACTGATTAGACAACGCTGACCGTGTGATGACCATTTGGGTGGTCGAAATGATCTGTAGGAATCATTTTACACATTTGATTTTGGTGAGTGTCCCGTTTCGGTGTGTTATCCCATAAGTTATCCATTCGAAGGGAAATCGCTGCCAAGAAAATCGATCGTTTGCACGGTATGTCTCATCTCTGGCTCTTTTCTTATTGTCCTTGTCCAGATTAGTGGTTGCTTTCTTGTCTAGGACGGGGCAATGGAGGTTCCAACATTAACTGATGTTCCGACTTGCGGATCCCGAACCCTTGATTTGAACGTCTTGTCGACCTGCCAAATACCGCTGTTCAAATCGAGTGATAGTTGGCTGGTAACTGGAATTTAGAACCTACGTCACTTGGCTAGTCGAATGTCCGAGCAATCCCACTCTTTTCAGACTCTGGAGCCCGCCAGCGTTTAGCGTTTTGTTGTATTTTACCAGCTTGATATCTGATAGTTGTGTGCTTTTGTTCGTCTCTGCTATTCTTATTTCTGATTTGAACTAAGCAACCACTTGCAATGCTGCTTAACCGTGATATCTACAAATTCATCACCTTCAGACCCTGATTTCGAGGAAATTTTTGTTTCAAAATTTGAGAACCCTACACGAATCATCCAAACATTTTCTTTCACGCTTGCCACTGCATGTTTTACGAAGGAATTCGCCTTTTTTTACACAGATCATGATCTGGAGCCAAAAACCAGTTAGTGGAACAAATCGTCATTCAAAATTATGGCTTTACTTCAAATAAACTGTATCTTTTGTTCAAACACTTGTATTGCAAACAGGATGTCACCGATAAAGCTATTGTGCCAAATCCTACGAGCTTCGAATCATCCTTCACAGCATCCTTTCCGAAGGAGAAAGAACTTTCCAAAATCCTGGGAGAGAGTTTCTGGCCTCTCCACTGGGTAATTTACTCCCCAATAGAAAACAGTTCAGTTGGGATACTTTAAACCATGGTGGCATACTTGCCTTTAGACTATCGCGTTAACCGAATGACGTCATGAGCGCTGCCGGTGCAACACCCTCCATAGCAACTGGATTTTCTCCACCCGACTGCATTGAGCGAAACGTGGCTGAGTATTAGATGCTTAGTACCGTTCTTGGGGACGTTTCTCAGTCGCAGTATGAATTAAGGGCAATGTGACTGGAAGCAACACACATTATTGCGCACGTTTACTGCTTTCCGAAAATTACCATTGTTTACGTTGTACAGGGGTGAATTTATTCTACGTTATCCTGCTTCGTACCTCCCATTTGGACATAAGTCTTAGATGACTGACTTTTGCGGTCACTGTGTATCTGTTCGTGTACCAAAACAGTGGACATGCAGAACTGCTGAATTTCTGGCGCCTCTATCTCAGCTGAAAGTCACTTATAAAATCTACACAACTACCCGATCACCAGTGAAGTTGTCCTTATTTCGATACAGACTTCTAGTAAAGGCATTCCCTCGGGTACTGAACAAACTGGTCTTGTTCGACAAGCTCGCTTTCTCACCTGTTCCTCCCGTCATCTTTATCTCCCACAGCTCTTCTTTACGGGATCCTGGCAACGACCGTGGTAAACGCTGCGGCTTTAGTGGGATTTGTGTTCGCACCGTTTAACAAATGTCCTGGCTACTCCCTCCTCATTTCGTTCATGGTTGCTACTGCTGTTGGATCGCTTTTCTCTGCTGCTATATTGGTGCTGATCCCAGAAGTAGGTTTCTGTTGCACTCCTGGCTTTTTTCGGACGCGTTTCAGCTTACGCCATTGACTGGTGCATTTCTTCCCGTTTAGTTCGTACGGAAATCACATTTGAACATTTGCATGTCTAGTTAGTCCTCATTCCCGTAAAGTCTGATCCTGTCACGTTTCACATCATCTTTATTTTATTGTGCTAACCTCTCTGTCGCGTGTCATGATGTACGGAACGCCATTAAGGTCACCAGTTTTCTTTACTTCCGTTAAAATGAGAACATTCAGGGTTTTGCCACACTCCTCATGATAACTATTCACTGAATTTGTGACTAGCTTGGAGTTGACGTGCGCATAATTCTACACCATTCTGAGTGCTACCAAGTGCAAAAATCAGTATATTGCAGGTTATGTGACGTCCTTTGTCTCTCATCACTCAGAGTTAACATTTTTATGTACTTCTGAATTGAGTCTGTGGAAGTTTTGCCTTCAGCTTCCATCATCTATGCACGATTTCCTTATTCCACTTGTCCAGAGTAAGGTAGAGTCTCGAATCTTTGAAGGACTCTTGTCTTTAAGTTTCCAATGTTTTGGCATGTGTTTATGCTAGTATCTCAGTGCGGGATAACCTGGCAATCAAAGTTTCAAGAAGGGCCAAGTTATCTTGTTGACTGGGCAGTGCTGACTGAGGTATGACTATCACCCTTGCTATTTGCTTTTCACAGATATATAGGCACACATGATCATTGGACGTCTCCAGTTCACCTTCCGGTTCAACCACATTCGGTTTATTCTTCAAAGAAGTAGAATTTAGATCCATTGGGAAAATTCCACTGTGATTTCGACCTTTTTGGCTTTCCTCGTTTATTATTCCGCGCCAATAACACGTCAAACCAAACTAACTGCCTAATTTGTACCTTTTGATCTTCACCAAGCATCACTTCTTTCCATTCGCACATGCCTAGCTGAATGGTGGATGTGCCTTTCGAGTGATCCGGGCCACCAGATCATCTCATGCATGTACTGTGGGACTGGGTTGTTCAGTTATACCCATATATCGGTCGCCAGTTGCGCATGCTAGTGGCCTTTGGACTGTCCGTTTTGTTCCTTAGAGTTTATCTCGGATATAGGGCGTTCAGGTGGGTGCACATGTGACAAGGCAAGGCAGCCGGAAACGGACGCCAGCCTGCCAATTCCATAAGATATAGCCTCCCTGTGACTTAACTCTAGTCCAGTGTATTCTCATCACTCTGGAAGGCCTCTTACCTTGCGTGTGTTTCAAACACAAAGGACCTCAGAACCCATGCTTGGCGGACGTTATGCTCAAACGCATTTCAGGGGACCTGCTCTGTATACAGCATAACCTATCTGGTCATTTATAGCCTGCTACCTCTCTGTGCACTGTATTTTCCAATAAGATCCAAAATTTCCCCACTATGCTACCGAGATAAATTAGCCATTTACTTGATGAAATATATTTATTCGTGTCAAAAACAACATTCGTGTCGCAACAGCCAGAGGTCACGATGAATCCAACGTCGTTATGATGTATGTAGTGTAATTCCGACATCCCTATAAGCATCACATGTAACTAGGCACAGGTGTTGAATGTCACTGATTGTTGCTACATTGGTAAAGTTCACGTTCAGTCGGTCTACCTTATTTGTATTTTAGACTTTTTCCGGTCCAAGCTAGGGAATTGCACGACCACACAGTGTACGACATTCCATGGATTCCTTCAATAATTAATAATTAATTAGTTAATAATTATTTCATTAATAACACTGTCACACTACGCACCAGCACCGTTTGTTGATTGGCGTTCAGTTTCGGTCACTTCGTGTGGTTTCTGTGAGTGAGCACAGGACATTGAAACGGAACAAATTTTATGCTGCCATTGTTGACGTGGCATTTTTCTTCTAGCACCTTAAACTCATCACTCACCGTAATCGCTCTCAGGGGTCAGAAATGTGGATGATAACGTGACTTTGATCCAAATGAGGCTCGGATTCTGACGTATCTCTTTTTCGCCGTTTGCTACTGATCGAGACTCATGGCATAACTCACGGTTGGGGTAAATGGTCCCAGATTCATGTAGATGTCCGACGTTGTTTGCACTGAAGCCCATGGATATGCACACGTAAGTCCACATCAAGCTCACTGTGGATAACTTCAAGTTCAGCTGTTACGGCAGACCATCCTGATGCATTTTAACAACTCAACAGGACCACGACTAATCTGTTCTCCACAGGGAACGACTGGTAATTGAATCAGTTACGCATTAGATGTTGGTTATCTCCACTATGCATCTCCCATATTGGGAGGTGCGACTAAATCCAATCACACGTTACCTATCGGGACAAGGTTCAGCTGCCTGTCAGATTCGCGAGTTTGCCTTCTTCAGCCGAGACGGCGAGACGACCCAAGTGGTTAGAGCGTGAATTTACTGACCGGAAGGTCCGTGGTTCGAATCCGAACTCCGCCACTCGACTTCCCCTGTTTGGGCTTGGGCACCCTGGCAGTATCCCAGCCCTCGTGCTTCCTTCGGGTGGCATGGCAGCTAGGCACCGGGAGGGTGCTACAGCTGAACGCTTTATCTTTATCTTTTTAGTGGATACTTGGGGATTAAGCATAATCAATATGGTGGCGGATAAAACTTATCAGATTGGTTGGGTCACGCCCAAACGCTCTCTACAAGGAATCCTTACAGGCGAAGCATTCGCGAGGGACATTCTGTGGCTTTGCAACACGAAATAAAGGTGGCTTATGTCAAACTGAGTACCACGGGGTCTTCGCGCCTTTCTTTTTTCGGTCCACTTGATCCCCTTTACTCTCTCTACAAGAAATAGCGTGCAACTGACCCTAGTGTCGAGCATGTCATCTGCTTGGTTGGTGCCCGAGAGCGCGGTCAATCCGGTCGAACTCAACCAGCAGATTGCCACCAAAAACAAACTTGAGCGAACCGATCTCCACCACTTAAATTCTATTTAGACTTGACTTCCTTGCCATTTCGTTTAAATTCTTTTCAATGGGCTAGCCGAAGCACGAGTGTAGATAAACGCCAGTGAACATATGAGCCTTTTACGGCCCGTAGATCCGATGCCAATAACCTCGCTCCTTTGACCGTTGCACAGTACTATCATGTTGCCCGTTAGAACCGATTATATTATCATAAACAAATTACCCCTCAAAATAGCAGTATCACGAAGAGCAGGTAGCACATATCGGTACTATGCCTGGTTAGCTTCATTGAAAAGTCGCCTGAACGTTAGCAGGTAAATTCCAAATGTGTCCTCTTGTAAATGACTCTAACCAGCATTGTCATGGTTACTTCTGTGCGAGAACCGTAGGTTGGTGATTTCACATTTGAGACCAAAAAGTTTACTGAACTTTCTCGAGTTGCATTACTCAGACCAGCATCAGCCTCTAGAGCAATGATGTTTTCAGTCCACCGCCCCCACCCCCTAATTACCATTCAAAACTCCATCGGCCTCTTTGTATTCGCGTCGTTTGAGCAAGCCAATTGAAACATCATTTTCGATTGCATCTCTTATTTGGTATCTACTCGAAAGGAGGCCACACAATTTTAGAGGTATTACATCCTCGTTTCACAGTCTTTTGGGGTCACTGCGCACGTGGCGAGATGGTCCAAGTGATTAGAGCGCGAATTTACCTACCGGAAGGCCCGTGGTTCGAACCCGACCCCTGCCTTTCGACTTCCCATGTCTAGGCTTGGGTAACCTGGCAGTATCCCAGCCAGCCTTCGGGTGGCATGGCAGCTAGGCACCGAAAGGGTGCTACAGCTGAACAGTTTTTTTCACTGCGCCCGGAGGATAATTGCTAATGCAATGAATGGTTTTTGTGCGTGGACATCAGCTAATGAACAACTGGTTAACAGCTACTCAGAAATCATTTGAGATCCCCAAGTCTGGAAGCGTTTGATGCATTTAGGCGTTCAGAAACAGCAATGCTTACTCTGTTAGCTTCGTTTAAGAAGCGCGATGTCAGGAACGCAGTTTTCAATCAGTGGACCCTTGCTACAGTTCGGGGCGGCTTTCGTCTGTTTCCCTCAGCAACCAATTTTTTGTATTCCACTACCTGAAAATGAATCTGACTCCTACGTCGCTTTTAATGATCGCTTGTTATGGCGGAGACCACAGAGGTGACCAGTTATAGTGGTACATAGTCTTATCGAACCCTTTCTTGGCCATACCTGCTTCGTAACCAACTTTACCCAACAAACCAATACTGACTACATCGGGAACCGCTCGGTAACATTCACTAAATCGCCTACTATTAGACTTATTAATTTTGGCAACACAGGCCCGTTAGTGATCCACAGCCATCACACTACTCCTGTTTCTCAATACACTCAAGAATCGCCATCTACAAACCGATTGCAGTAAGCGAAGGTTCATGTGAACGACATCCTGTATGAACGTGCGTTGGCGGCAATCCACACGATGGTGAGCTGGCATCCGTTTCCGGATCGACGTGATACATCGAATGAATCCGGTCAAAACTTGCGCACAAGGACTAATGTTGCGCGTGTTTGCGCTGAGGCACAGATGTATTCATCTGAACGCTCCATGTTCGAGGGAACAGGATCGGTGGGTAAACAGCAGGGGGCAGTTCTAAATCCACCAGCAGGTCTAACTGGTGGCTGCTAATTGTCAATCCAGTTGGATACTGCTCGAAATTTAAACCCCGCAGTGCATGCAAAAGGTGCTCTGGTGGTCCGCACCACTTGGGGGACGCATCCTAAGCGCACACCCATGACCAGCTGGTGCTTATCATCATTCAGCTGTACAACGATGCTCAGAGAGTTCACTTCGAGCCTCATTGAAGGTTCAACACTTCGGAATCTCCAGATTGTTTGGTAGGATCGCTGGTTTATATGTGCATAAATCATGGAGACAAATTCAATCATATGGAATAAAACAAAATGCAATTTATTAGAATATAAAACAATGCAGTCCAGTGCAGTGCACGGAAACTAAACATAACAGAGCAATGTAAACACGTGAACTAGCTTTCAACACAGACTATTAAGACGAGCGTTTGTTTACCCGCACATGAAACCGATAACTAGAGTGCATCTTGAGAAACAGAACATAACACAGTCAAATTAATTCCCATACGTCACGATGCAATAACATCCACTGACACGTAGTATACAAAATAAATGTGAATCAGGATTGCTAACAAACAACCCGGCAACTCATACCAAAGACTAAGAGAGCAACCGTTTCAGTTTCCCATAAATTTGACTGTGGTCCTCACCCTGACGACGTCAAAGACTGTCGAACACTCACTGTCCGAGTGACGCGCGAATGAAAACTCACAGTGATAGTTGATACAAATACATATCTTTATCTTCCTCCTAGAACAACACCAGCTTCGCGGCTCATCACCCACCAGTCAATTCTTTTTACAAAAAGCTAATGGTCTCAGTTTGGGCGAAAACTTAGTGCCTGAGTCCCTACTGTCATCATCATCATCGACAGCATGACATCAGTGTACAACACCGATGCTTCACCGCCGTACAACCATGATTTATTTGAAAGCCTTATCGTAAAGAAAAGAATAAAGGTGGACGGGGAAGGGAATTAGTACTAGCTTACTACAATCATTCGTAGGTGCCTACAACCCCGGACACTCGTTCAGGCAATCTGGATGGAAACTGACATCGATTGGCAGCCATATCTTGTAGTGTCTCCAAATAGGCACAGTGAGAATCACGCGATCCCCATTCTGAAAGGCGACTAGGTCCCCACTGTACCAAACTTTCAAGGGCGAAAACATTATGGAATTGAAAAACGGATAGGTTCTGTAGGACAAAATCATATACCATACTATATTTTCCCTCTTTAGTTTCTTATTTGAATCCTTATGTTTTAACATAAAAAAATTTAGTCAGAGTTTCACACACTTAAATTTTTCCCTCTGTATCACGTCCGTCGTTTCGCGCGACGTTCACATTTCGACTCCTCATTAATGCTCCTGACTGTATTGTGTAACCCATTGGGCTTTACAAAGTCAACTGTTCCGTGATACTCTAACGACTGCATCAGTTCAATACGGTATTTCACTATCATTTTAGGCTTTTCAGCTAATGACTACCACAAACGATGGTCAGCGCAGTACTCACTGGTATATCCTACGGTCGGTCAGTGTGTGCATTGGAGCTGCACTGTTCTTTATTCTGGAATTTTTACTCAGATTATTACGTACGACACTGGAGGTGAGTACACTCCCTGTGTTTTTTTCAGTTGAATTATACCGGCAGAGAATTTGAAGGTGCGCTCTCTAGGCTGAAATGTCCAGTTTGCGCAAAGAACAGACAAATTCGTAGTATACTGGCTCGTCAGTGTTCGGCATAGGACACCGTTCGTATGTTGTGAATATACTACCAATGAGGGATCGATTACGATATCCAGAACGTGTCCTAATGATGCTAAGTGACGGAGTTCCCTTCGTTCGCTTTTCGCAACTTTTTACATGGGAACCGAGGCCAGATAACCGTAATTGGCAAAGACCTGCTCAGAATCGGATTGTTTGACGCATATATTATCATCATTGATGGCAACTCCAGGTGAGAACACTGGTGCTTCACGACCCTACAACTATGTCAGTTTATTTCCCTAAAGCCCTATAACCAAAAAATGAAAGAAATAGGGCAGCGATGGGCAGTTGTGGCTAGCCGACCACAAGGATTCAAGGTGCCTACATCTCCGACACTCAGTTAGACAATCTCGATGGAAACTGACACCCTGAACGCCACCGACATTGGTTAGCCACCTCATCGTTCAGTATCTCCAGCCAAGTGAAGACACGGTCCCGTAAGCCGGATCCTAGAAAGCGAACAACACTGATACCCCTCGTAACATCTCTCCTTCCTTTCTTTCATGTCAAATTCTGCCCACCTCTATGTTTCCCGCCACTCCCGATTGTAGACGGAAAACATTGCTCGTCCTGATAGCCGTTACTTCGACGTGCGTAATGCCTGGTCCATCCCCTACAAGCAAGCGCGTTGAAAAGAACTAGCCAGTCGACAGAACCGAGGTCGACTCTTGAATTCAAGGAACACCTACACGCTTGACGTCGCTCTAATACTTGACGCAGTGTGAAGATGTGTTCCACACAGCCCTTTTCTGGGAATCTTGCTTGCTGTTATCGCATCCCATCTTCACTCGTAAGATGATGTAAAATAAGCGAGGCAGGGAATTTAGTTACACTCGAGTCAAGCTAATTCCTCAGTGATTGCCACACACACAGAGGAAATTTTTTTTTTGAAAATGAGAACCACTATCGACTCAACAAGTGATTGCCCAAAAACAAAAGAAATTTTTTTTTTTGAAAATGAGAACCACTATCGACTCAACACTCTTTTCAGTCAGTCTCTTCCCCCCCAGATATTAGTCTTGCCGATTCGACTAACACTTCCAATATTCTGAGACTTGGTTGGAGTTCTAGTCTGCTTGGCTTATGTGAACTCCTAAATTCATGGCCTCTTGAATTTCGCACTCCATGATGCTACCGGTGGCCAAATTCGACAAAAATATAAATGGGATAAACAGGATGCTTCTGTACATTACGCTGTACACCGCAATTATGAGGATAAAAGGCGCGTAGAATGTTCGTGAACTTCAGTGGTATTGTCATCTAGCAGAGCTTAAGGTTTTTTTTTGAAATCGAAGAAAACCGTGACTCTTGGTCTCCGTTGTCCGCGGCACTGCCCAAGCGCTTGATGTATTGTAAACAGTACAGCCCCTCCCAGGTCGGAATCTTGCTTTTTGCCCTCGGACTTGCGAAAGATATACGTCTCAGTATAAGCGAAGCCAGTAGCCATTTTGCGACAGGTGTATGACTTATACCCATGTGGCCGGAATATTCGACATTCGATTTTTGAACGCGGATGCAACCGATGATGGACTCCACTCTCCGGAACAAGTTCCAAAATAAGTGCGAACGGCTTCTGAGCGGAGCACAACTATTTTCCTTCATCTTAGTAATACTTCTTCGACGGAAGGAGTATCTAAACTCACAGACCACTGCTCAAAATGACTGGGTTGAGTGAATGACGAAAGGTCTTTTAGGTTCTGTTTTGCCTACTAGGTGGGATGGCTTCCGTGGATTCCATATCCTGAACCCTCCAGTTCCAACAGACCTCTGTCTGCACAGAGACTACGTTTGGGCTGTCGTTTAATCGATCGTCCGGCCGAATTATACTCCACACCAGAAGAAACAGAACGTCTCGCATCAATAAGTGACAATTAGCGCTCTGAGATCCAGGGATACTCATATACGCGCTTGGAAGCACCACAAACAGAGTTCCAGCCGTCACGTATAGTTGTGATTATCTCATCGCGGTTACATTTGATGTCATTCGAGGAGGCCGCTAGTAATGTGTAACACAGGGGGCTCTGGTATAGTTCCCTGACTTGTGGCACACAAAACTTTCTAGACCTTACCGGGCAAGTCTCATTAAAATTAGCACCGAACGAGTGTGTGATCTGAATCGAGCTATATGTTCCAGAACGATCGACAGTCAAGGGTTAAATCGTGTCACTGGTAGCTGATGGTGATGTGTTCAGTTTGACACTAGGGCTGCTAGGCAGTTGTGGAACGCCAGTTTGCGCCCAGTGCATCAATTTGGCTGAGAAACAACTGGAGATCAGTACAGAATAGCAAAAGATGTTCATCATTTTGATTGCATCTTAAGTTCAGATTTAAGATATCACCGAGGCGTGCTTTTGCTGAACTACGTGTGTATTGAAAGCTCTTGCTATTATAGCTATATCGGAGCTCCTCGTGACAAACAAGAGGGTGGTAGGTTCTCGTTGGCTGGTGGCTTTGAGTGACCTAGAGCTACAGTTCGTTGGGCGGCTAATTGCAGATATCCGGTCGAGCAATAAAGTCCCGGATCGAGTAATTAAGACCATACCAACACCGACGCAACCTGCTGCAGCAGCTTCAGAATCATTTGAATTTCATAGTATGCGGCATCTATATACAGAGGGTGCCTTAAACCTTTTTGGTCGGTCTGCCTAAGAATTCTCGCTTTAAAAGTAGGAGACTCGGAGCGATGAATGTCAGTCGTAGCGTGCAGTGTCAATTTCATATATGCCTGCATGAAAGGTACACAGCTGGGATCTGCATAAAAATGATTGGGGCGGAACGGGGATAAGAGATACCATTGAATGAAGATGAGTGGCATCAGCAGTCACATGTTCTCGCTTATCCACCCGTCCGTATGCAGATGGAGGCCACGTGACTTCCAGTGTGGCATGGTGGCATTATCATCTACAAAGTTCCATGGTTTTAATGAGGGCCGAAATACTGCTATGATGTTCAAACCTAGACAAGAAGTCTCTCAGTGGAATCCGAGTGGCTCTAACTTCTGTTTTTGAGGGATCACATCATCCGGATACTCACTAGCTATAATCATTCACCTACAGGGCATTTGAGCTCTCGACACATCATAATGAGGTTAACGAATACTGAATTAGTGTACTGCTGCGAGCACATATTGCCACTTATACACGCGATTGACATGTTTTCCCACACCACGGTGCTTCATCAGTACTTTCGGTTTCCGATTGCACAGATACCGATACAGATAATAAACTGAGAAGCGGTAAAGATTATCAAACCTTCGAACGCGGGGGACGTAACCGACATGTTCGCACAGCTTAACAGAAAAGCAAAGAGGAGTTCTTATTCCTTACCCCATATCTCGGTCATACCCCGAAACAAAGTGCGAATGACTCAGGAATGTATGCGTGTGCGTGTATTTACTTTTGCTATTACCTGTTACGTGTAGGATAGTATAATCCACGTTGTTTTGATTGCCGGTGCAGTTCAGCTATATTCTGTGTATTGTACTATCGGTGTTGTGCACACACAAAACTTTTACTGTTTTACAGTATCATTCTCGTGACCCTCGAGTGCTACGCCGAGTTTCAACCAGAAAACGCCAATCCAGTCTACCAATCCCGTATGATGGCCCGACTATGTCAGATCAAGGGGATGTGGCGCTGGACACAGCCTCACCAGTTTTGAATGTTAATGGTTTCAACAACTCGGATATGCAAGTGTTGGCCGCGCGAAAATCGGCAGATCTTGCAGGTCTCTCATCCTCCCGTCAGGTATGTTTATACTGACTGTCTCTCAGGCTTTTTTCCTTTGGAAACTATGTTGTCAGTTTGAAAAGTGTATACTTAGTTTTGGCGACAGGAGAGTTGTATTCGTTCGAAACTGTTTCTGAAAATGCCACAGTTGTATTTACACACTCTAACACGATAGTCATAAAATGTTGTGGCCGGGGACACTGATCCGTCAAGACGCAACGGTTCGTCTTTACCAAAGTACCACAATTGGGATGTCAAGTCATTCAAGGTAAATCGGATTTCCATCTGCACAGGCTGGTTTTAATGGAACCTGAAAAGCGAGGACTTGTGATATTCTATTGATACACGCCCCAACGCGAACATCTGCGTGCCACGTTACGTTTATATGTATTAGTTGTTTGGTGGCTACTTTCCACCTTACACTTTTCGTTCACGCCAGTTGGCGTGAAATTCGATTTGCTGCACGCATCGGTCTTTTGGGGGGGGGTCAGTAAGAATGACGCAACTTACATAGGGAGACGTCTCCTGACCTTTACAGAGCAGTGCCTCTGCAGGACGTTAGCGACATGAGTTAGCACCACCGATTTAGCTGAACCACCGCGCATCCTTGGATTAGCTTCAACAAGTGCTGGAGCCAGCCCTAATGCTTTTGGCCTGAGTTGTATGTTCATTGGGTGTACCGATTCCTCCACCCACACGCAACACCTGGTGACGTCTGTGCAGATTTCAAATTGCTTGCTCAGTTAGTACACCAGATGGATTCGCTACATAGGTAAACATATACTCCAGGGCGTATACGACTCCGCGAATATACACTCATTTGCAAACTAATTTGGTTTTTCGAGTGACCCACCTGGAACCCAGTTGAATCTCTCGTTTGTGATGTTCTACGGCAACTAAATGTGCTGCACCAGGCCGCCTCATGTTTCAGTTTCTACGATATTCGAGATATCGCGATACATATATATCTTTGTAATGTACATAATGTTGGGCTATCGACGAATTTTCAGCAACCTTATGAGTAGGACATTACAACAACATTACATTACACCAACTACAAGTTGTTGCTGTGCTTATGACCGGCTGCCCGAAATCGGTGGCTGACTCATTGTCACTCGAGTTGGGAACTGGCAAGCGTGTGGATAACGGATTTGGGTCAGTCGAGCTGACATGTGTTGGTGTGCGGTCATCAGAAGGAGGAGTAGTCAACATCTGAACTCCACGTGATCTCACCCTTCCTCCCCCAACTAAATTGTCTCGGCACTCACAAGCCCACAATGACCAAGGAAAATCTACCAGTGGCACCCGAGGTGAATCATCAATTGAAGCAACATAAAGTGGAAAATTAAGAAAGAAGAGCCGATCGGAACTAATTTCAAACTCCTCCAACCCATCAGTTCAAGATTTTAGCAACCACACTAACCGACAAGAGTCGTTAATTGACACTCAACACTGATCTTGTGTGGTAATCCGAAGAGGACATACTGGTTAGTTCCCCCGTATGCCGTATAATCTGGCTCATTTGGTGACCTGCTCACTTGGCCTGATGAAGCTTTTGTGTGAAAAGCGAAACGTCGCCCAATTAAAACTACCGATCGTTTACCAAAGCCTTATTAAAACATGAGTTCTCAGTCGCTTCCAAGCCTTTTCAGGTTGATTGAAAACACTCCCGCTTTTGTTCGGATTCACGCAGTGTTTGAATCATCTGTCCGTTATCCTCCCATTTTTTTCCTGGCACTTGTAAACAATTTTTATAAATGAGTTGTTCAGTAACACCCACTTTGTTGAGGTCGGGTTCTTGGCAGCACTGTAAGACGCGTCCTGTCGCATTTGGATCTAACAGTGAAATTTCACGCACTGAAGTGATCTATTCCGGAAACAAGTAGTTGCTTTCTGTGCACATACAACCATAGCCGTGGTAGTCTTGCCATACTATAATACGAACGCACCAAGGCGACTAGCCGAAACCCGAGGAACATTCAGCAACACAACCTGCTGATCCGTTGTGCGCAGCACCGCCATGTTCACGTAAACCAAAGAAGCACCAGTCGCACGATAATTGGAAAGGTGGATGTGATGATCGAACAACCGATGTAGTTTCAGAACAATCACATACTTAGGCCTCGTTGGAGATAAGAGGCTGGTGCATTTGTCCAGCTCTGTCAGAATAGAATCTTGCCCCATTGGGCCACTGTGTTCACCCTTCAAATTTTACCGTGGTTCGTGCCGTCCTGTGGACTAGTTCTGCATGAGGTCAAGTGAGTTGTTGACGAGTTCGGTGCAAGCCTCCGTCACCTGTATACGTTTATCCTATTCTACATTTCTGTGTTGTTTGCTTTGCTGCCTGTCGAATCGCCTGCAAAACGAAAACATTCGTCAATCAAGACAAACAGTTATGTTGATTCTGTGTTTGTCTTCGAACTTGAGAAAGGAACGATAGACCTGCTGCTTGCTATCAAAAAAAATTCGAGCTGTACTCGTTTGAGTATTCCTGTCATCCTCGGAAAACGTACACAGGCGAGAGACACCCCTAACCGCTATATAACCTTAACTGATTTTGGTCATTCGTCATCAAGTTTCTATGATAACTTCGGTTTTGAGTGACAGTGTGGGGGATTTTCATCACAGCGTGGCAAAAATAGGCATCTGTACCAGGATGTCCCTGCAATTTGGCCCTTTTGAGCTACACGTACGAAACTCCCAGATCTTCCACGTTCTTACAAAACCGTGTACAATGATTCCAGTATCGAAGGAGCATCATAGGACTGGTCACACTCATTCTTCCAGGCAGGAACTTTCCCCGAATAGCGTTGGATATTCTTCATCTGGAGTCTGATACACTTGTTGATTTCGTCCAAAGTTTGATGGCTGCATTTTCGGACCCCATTAAACTTCCTATTCCTAGAATGGTTTGTCCGGAGGAGTTGACTACGAACATTACAATTGCATAGAATTGAATTTCGTTCTTTTGTACTTTTGTCTTGGTCCTTGGCTGCTTCTTTCAGTTACTTGTTCATTCCTTTGGAAACTCCATACTGAACCGGTAGATATGTTTCGAACTCTATTGGCATGACTGCTCAACGAGCAGTGTGCTGGATGTTGTCACAACGCTATGCACTCTGCACCGGAATCAGGAATATCACAATCGAACAAGTAAACACCCCTATTTGATATCCTACCCATTGCCAACTAAGTGGTACTCTGTTGCGAAGTTACCACAACCGATGTAGGCGGACAGAGATTATTAAAACAGGCGATGTTCCCTTGGGTGGTGGTGTAATATCTACTGAAGTAACGAAGTCACAACCAGTACATCTGGTGACTACTTTCATTGCAGTTTAGTGCTGACTGCAACTCACTCACTCACTCTCCCTCTCTCTCTCTAGCTATTGAGTTAAACTAGGTCATTCAGCGATCGTTGTCGCAACACATCTATAGCAACCCCGAAGTTGCAATTTACCTGACCAGTAAATAATTAGATTACTCGTATTTTCATGTTTTGTGTAGTCTTTACTTACGGCCCAGGATATGCGCTGGTGATGAGCTATTGTAGGAGCGAAACTCAAGTCCTGTGATTTTCCATTCCGGCGTGCAGTGTTCCGCTTTTTTATGGTTTAAAATCCCTCCAAATCCCAATAAGCCGTCGGATTATTTTAAAGATGTCACGGGATTGATGCTGATGTGTACGGAAGATGAAGATGGGATTACGGTACTGTCTTATTGTAGAATCCAAGCTGCTAGTTCAGCCGTTGGTGCGGACGCATCTTTCATTCACCTTTTGGAACACGAGCATTTCCACCCGTCGATTTCGGCCTGTTCAATGTGTGTTGGCGTGTCGGGTAGACCGAAAGCATCGGTTATTTCTATTTTTACAAGGGTATGCTCATGGAGTTGGTGTAAACAGAATAGAAGCTTGTGAATTTTGACTCTGTGGTGAATAGGAAAGACGCAGTAAATCGTGGGCTGTCGAAGATGACTTCTCCTTGTCTATTGAAATTTAATGGATATGATGCATCAATCGATGGGTTGGTTGGTGATAAAGGCAAAGTGGAAGAGTCGTTCGGTTTAGCAATCCATCCGACAGAAAACAAGGAATAATTCCATCTGCTTGGCTTGTCCGAGCTAAATTACGTCAGCTTGTGTTTGGTCCTTATGTTCGGGGAGGCAATTTGCAAAACTTTATTCCACCACGGTTTTTTGGGGCGTGTGAACGCTCTTGTCCACTGATCTGACGCATACAACGCGGGTGGATAATCCGTTGTGCTCAGTTTCACGTAAAAAGCAGCAGACGCGCAAAGACCGGACGCACGTGCTACGTCGACGATCAACAAGATCCGACATTTTACTTCCTAACGTGAAACTGATAAAACTTTCGAGCGGTTGGGTGTTGCAAACATGAGCATGGTTTCTGCGGTTAGCCACAAACCATCGAGATGTGTAACGTGTGGATTTTGATTAAACCGGCGCATGGATGTACTTTATTGTAAACAAATTCGAATGTGAACACCAGCTTTAAACATTATCTTCTAATCAGAAAATATCACAATAAATCGTTTCCTGAGAGAACAGTTCCCGCAGAATCCATATTATACAGTTTCATCTTGCGATCCTGCCGATCGTTTCTAACAACCAGGATTAGCAGACTACCAGTCAACCAACTCCCCTTATCGGATAACTGTTCTGGGATTACCGGAACAGGGTTACTGGAAGAACATCGTTCTAACGATAGCAGTTCCATGCGTAAGGTTTCACTACTATCAGATTTTTTAATACTAACTCGTACGACTTATCCGCTGGCAAGCTAATGAAGTCATCGAAAACGCGACATTGCCGCATGTGTTTTCGATAGCTGTCCACAATGGCACCAAGTATGCGTATAGTATTGGCCCGCCTGGTTTCGAGACCGAATAAGACTTCCCAAGGTAACATGTTTGTCATATTGTTAAGAATTGCGATATAAGTGGTCACTTTAGGCCAAAATATTGATTTGCCGAAAGGGCAGTCCACATCGTATTGCTGACTAGTTTTCTTTGTTTCTATTAGATGACCCTATTGGGAAGTGTGACAGCTTTCTCTTGATTTACTCAAAGCCATACTGTCACATCCCGTTATTTCTATAGTCTAGAGTGTCATTCTTTGATTTGCACTCAACCCTCAGATAGAAATATTTGTTGAAACGGACAACTTTACCGACCGTTGTACGTCGCTCATATTCCTAAACCTGAGAGTTATGCAGCTCCATTTATCCAACTAATGATCATGCACCTTCAAACGCAATGTACCCTGTTACCTCGGCTTTGTTGATTCCGAAAATACCAAGGTTGTAGTTTCTGTCAGTATATTTGTATTCTCCTGTTTTCATACATTGTAAATTCACCGCCAATGTGTCTGGTGCGTTCAAGCGAACTGTAAGCTGTTAACTCGATCCACTTCATCTGTTTGACCTTGAGGCCACCAAGCAGTATGTGCCTGCTTCATGTGCTTGAATCCGTTTCGCTCGCATGGTTTTTATCCTTGAAACCCGAGTGTTCCATTTGTCGGGGTCTGTATAGTTCTTTGAGTCAATTATTGCTACCGTACAAAAACCAAATTCCCACTTTGTTTTTCCTTATTTGAGACCGTGGCATTACACATCGCCTAACGATGCGGTTATGGATGTAAAAACTTTGTCGAGTCTCCTAGTGATAGGAAAGTAGGACTATTCTTGGGACCGTTTGACTAGTTCGTTCAACCCAGTTTGTACTCCCGTGTGAACTGGTTAACCGTGGTAGTCACAATCAGTCATAATGTCACCAATATGTTTACGCTGATAGGACTCAAGAAGCAAAGAACAACAGGGAAATGACAGCACTTCCTAAAGCACCCGTTTAACTTGGTGGTGGTGAGGATTTGGGGTTAGGCTACCAAGATTCACGTACAAGCCCGGTGAGTCATTTCCGGTTACAAACATCGACAAGCAGCTACAACACAAATCGACTGACATCAAAGAAGAGGAAACATTCGACTTTTCCATTCCCAGGGAGTGCTAGGAACCGATTGCAAATATACACGGTGTGCAGAATATTGTGTACCTTCAGCTGTCCGACCGGTAGAGATTCTCGATAACACTGCACTTTCAAACAATCCAGAAAGAACTCAGATACACACGCAACCTTTATTTTGTATCGAATTTATCTTGGTTATCCTGTTCCTGACGAAATACTGATTGAGCAGAGCTGTAATACAATTTGAGCGATCAGAATGGTGCACATCTGATACCACAAGTATCGTTTCCTGTACCGTTTGAGCTTTCCAAGTGTTGAAAAACGATCTCCTGTGTTTGTTGCAAAGACACGACAGTTTTTAGAGAATGGGTATTTCGGGTCGATGACTTTCGGCAACTTTTGTTGTCAAGCCAGATGTTGGCATGAATCCTGTTCAAGCGACTGACTTCTATTTTTATCTAACTGGTCAGCTGCTCAAATTTCCTACGTCGCCAGTTCTCGAACGTTATCTGCCTCTCTTGCCGAGATGGCTCAGTTTCTAGAGCGCGAGTTTACTGATCAGAAGGTTTGTACCCGATCTATGTCTGTCGACTTACCCTGTCTAGGCATGGGCAACCTGGCAGTATCCCATCCCTCATGCTTCCTTGGGGTGGTATGCCAACCAGGCACAGAAAAATGTTACAGCTAGGTGATTGTTTTATTTATTATCTCTCTGAAGGTTATACTGTAGAGCAGAAAACCCGTCACCTGTGATGCGAATGGCCTCAGCAGGTGAGAAAAAGTTGAAAACGAAGTTGAACTACCTAGTCAGATGCTGGCAGTCTGCCGAGGTGTTAGAATATTGGAAAAATGAGAAATCTATGGATGAGCGTTGTCCGTAGTAAGCTTAATGGTATTCAGCAGATGAACCGCTTATATTACATGTCTTCTTCTTCGGGTAGATCCTCAAGAGAGTTCGGATGCATTTTACTGAATGACCAAGCGAGTGAGGCAAGTGTCGGTGTTGTTCACAAGCACAATTATTTTGGATTTCGTGGCTTGTGGGGAAGTGTCAAATGTTTTCAAATTTGATAGAGATTAGGGAGCACCAATCTGATCTATCAATATCAATTCTTACAACAGAGTCTTTTCAAATAGACAATCGCCGCACTGGGAAAGCAAACGTACCGGCGCTATAAGTTATTTGTGATGTTTCATTGCAGTTTTGTTTGCTGTGAAACTTCGTTTGAGTTTATTCCACTTTCTGTAGACTGATACAGAATACTCTCGATCCCATAGACTAGTCCTCCTTCATCGAAAACGATAGGTTACTAGACCGCTTAATCTTTCTTCAGCTGAAATCACTATAAATCCATGTTGTAGAATTCAGGGCAGTGGGATTGTCTCCACAAACCCAGCTTTCGACGCTGTTCACTCTCATACAAACCTGTTGTTAGTAAGGAAGTAAGAAGTAGCGCTATCCCTACTGGGGACTCTGGACAGCGAATAAATCATTGTTCGTGTAAAAAAAACACGACAGTGGCAAACATTCTCTGGGTGGTAGGAGCTAGGGTAATAGTAAACCATAGAATTCGGAAGACTGTAGATGATATTCATAACATTTGCAGTGGCCGTCTGTTGAACAAATAAAGGGATACACATAAAAAGCAAAGGACGGGCCATCGAACGAACAGGCGGGAGAGCTTACAACCAGGGGGATCAACAGGCGTGTACCGTGCCGCAATACCCCGTGCCGTCATACCTGGAGGTGTGGGCAAACTGTGCATCTTTCAGGATTGGAGAGATACGGGAATAATATTCAGATTTAAACAACTGGGAACATTGAGTGGAACGAATTCGTTCGGGTGACTGGGTGGGTAACGGACTGAAATTGCCTTGACTGTTCGCGTTCGATTCAGTGCAGCACCAACTTCCTCCTACCGGGATAATCACTTACAAAGACGACAGACACAAAGTGTTGAACGGACCTACTTAGAACCGGTAGTGATGATTTAGAAGTGCAAGCATTCATGCAGTCATTCGTCGTGTAAATCGCCGGCTGAATAATTGCAGAGGATGAGGGGACGAAAACCACAGGAAAATGACACTACTTGTCAGTAGCCTGAGATAGCGTAAATTTTGCACACTTTGATTTTTGTGCGGAATCGACACGATTTTCATTTCATCTATTGTTTTCGGTGGTCGAAACGGTCTGCTTAGAAGTCGCTCTAGAATAAATTGGATGATATCACACGCCGCATTTTTGTCTGCGACTTTTGACCCTTGCCTATTTGGTGGGCTTTCGTTACCTCAGAAACAGAATTCACAATTCTAGTAGTCTATTGTCCCATCAAAGCTGTATGGGTTTTCTTTTCCCGTTTGTCCTCAGGATTCCGTCGTGGTATGTGAAGGATTGGACGATGACAGTACACCGATCCACTGTTGTACAAAGAATCTGTGCCATCGTCTAGCCACACTGGACCCAATCGTTTGGATGATTGTCCTGGGGGATGGAGTGCACAACTTCATGGATGGCGTCTCCATGGGTGCTGGTTTCGCCACAGAAATGCGCCTGGGATTAAGCGTGTCCCTGGCTGTGTTGTGTGAAGAGTTACCGCACGAGTTGGGTAGGTTGTGCGGGGCCCAATCGCGTGTATATTTATTAGTAGAATGTTGTTCCAGTTTTTTTTCCCACTGAGATTGTGGTTTTTGGTCGTAGAAACTGCGGGACACTTACCTAAACCTTAACCAGTTCAAAGGATTCTCAAACCCAATTAGTTTTTGCTTCCGTCCATGTTACTTTACACGTTAGCAGTCTGATTATCGTTTTGAACCTCCATCGTCACCCAAGGGGATCTGACAATAACTCCAAGCCTTCGGCCTAAAACCTTTACAGCGCACTTTGTCGTTTGTTCATGGTTCATTGTATTTTCATGCTCAACTCTGTACAGATGCAAAAATGACTTCTGTACACACTGAATACAGCTTCTTTTCGGCGGTTAATTTTGAACCGTTCTTTTTGTCACTAATCATTGTAAGCATTTTCGATTACCTGTATCTACCTTGGTTGCGACGGTCTCACAAACCTGAGCAACATAGATAGAATGATCAAAAGAAAATAACAATGCTCTGTGATCGCTGAGTGAGCAACTTACTGTTGCCACTTGCATTGATGTAATAATCAGCGGACACGCAGCTGCTTACTAAGCACGAACTGAATGCCAGCTACCCAACTTTGCACACCGGACGAATTTGCAGTGCGCTCAGCGGATCTCCAGGTTAACTGCGTTACGTTAAATACGCTAAATTTGTACAAAGACGGTGCACTACTCTCCTGAGAAAGTAAACAGCAGGTTTCCTGCTCCAGTGTTATAACAAGGGATTTGTGTCGTATGCACAGTTGACCCAAATTCCTGTAGTGAGCTCTTCCGGCACTGGTGTGACGAAAGTTTAACTTGGGATATTCACCCAGAAACGTTCGCTCGAGCGTGAAGCAACATTGTAACGGGGCTAAATTATTAAGTAGCATTGATTTCAAGTTGGACTTTATCACCAGCTGCAGAAACTGATCGGCAGAAGCCTGGTCGGCAAGTTACAGCTTGATCGAAGGGTCTTGTGCCCGATCCCTCCACGCCCCCTTGATGAGTCTCGCTAAGGGTGGAGGCGCTCGGGTGGCTGGGATTTTCGGCGTCCGAACGTAGGCTTATCGCATTGCTCCTGATATTTCACCTTTGCCATGAACTGTTTTGTCCTATTTTAAAGTGCAAGCGAGAGAAAGTTTCATCAGGCTTTCAAGAAATATAGGCCCACACCAGTCTTGTTTGGTCTTCAAACACAAAATACGTTGATTGGCATTTCGGGGACCACGCCTGTCTGTTGATCCCCAAAAGGTCGATGGTGCACTGCTCAGGAGTATTACCCGATCAAGGAAAGTACTCCGGTATCTTGAATGCCATTCGGACAACCTCTTCAGTGATTGTTTTCTGTCCCGCGAAGCGCTATCCGAACTTCAGTAGTATACGTCGTTCGAGGCGCGGGGATCACCGTGCTATTCCGGAGCAACGTTCACGAACAGCGCTGCTGGATAGTCAATTGGATCACCTTGTCCTAAACAGGGTTTCAAACACTTCACACTGTTGGATATGTTCGACCTGTAGGGGCCAGGTCTTGCATCCGTAATGCAGGGTTCAGGAAGGCCAAGGGCGCTTCCGCCTACCTCTGATGCCTGCGGCCCTGGCATGACAACACATTGTCTACCATATTTAAAATGCTGAAATACGATAAGTGCGCTCACTAGTTCACCGCCTGACTTCCAGTCGTAATTTACAGACTGCTCAGACCGCTTTCCTCCCGACGACAAGATGAGTTAGTTACAACATACAATTCGCCAAATAATGCACATAGGTCGCTCACCGTTGTTTTGTTTTTGAGGACATAGGACAGTTGACACCTTTGTTGTTTTATTTAGATGGCTATACAATCATGTAAATTGTCGCGAGTCATATGAAATTATGTTTATCATATATCAACCAATCTCTGAAGCTAAGTATTTGCGTTCGTTGTCGGGATACCGCCTAAATGCGGTTTGTCACTTGAGATCACGGCGCAGCTACATAGGAAATAGTTACACTGTAAATCGAAATTCCTCTTCGTTGCTAAGCCCGAAACCCGTAATCATATATCTTCTGATCAGCGATACGAGCCGAACTGATGGAGTTCGAATGTCATACTCAAAGGCCTTAAGCGTTGCAGTACCGAGGTCTATGCTACTTGATCTCCTTACCTTCTATGACAAATATACAATGAGTTCACTTAAATTTAACAGGTTCATTTCAGCGGCTGCCCGGACTCGGGTACTCGGAGGAGGCTAGTGCAGGTAGCTGCACTTGGCTCACTGGTCTGCTATAAGCGCATCATAGCCTAGTGTTATCCTCTTCCGCCTTCAGTATTCACTCGTCAGATCAGATACACTACGATAGGATTATCTTCAGCAGTTTTGTACGCAGTACGCCTGCTCCACAATCACATGTGCTGTGTATATCAGGAAAACCAATCAGTATTGTGTATCCTTCGCGAAGAAATGGATCTTACGAATCACCCCAACCTTTCCTCATTTAGCACCGAGGTCACATAGTTCTTCTGTTCACCAGATGCTTGAATTCTCATCTGGCTGAGGGGCACCAGGTCATAAAAATTCTCATGTGTAATTCTGAAAGCCGAATTCGTCATCTGCAACCGCCATTTAGCACAATCCTTTTGTATACCCATCATTACAGCGGTTTATTATATACATTGCAGGGTAGACTTGGCAGTGGGGCTGCTTTTTCGGCGTCGCATTTCCGGTCGTTTTCGGAATTACATTACACTGAGTAAGCGAGTGCTAAATCGCATACAGATTTCCTTAGCTATCTTATGTGCACTCATTTTCATCTCGTTAGGTGACACTAACGTGATGGTCTCCCGCTCACCATCTAGTCAACTTTTCCAGCACACGTGTGAGTTGACACATGCCGTTTGACTTCTGACTTACACCTATGTGAACTTACCATTTGGTTTACTAACTCCTTACATGACAAGCACCGTGATGTTTTGAAACTACTGTCTTTTAATATACTTCTGGATTCAGTATTCCATTTCCTCGTGCCTTCGCAGGTGATATCGCTGTGTTGCTGCGTTCTGGTTTATCTGTTCCAATGGCAATCCTGTTCAATTTCTCCTCCGCCTGCAGTGCCTACCTCGGTTTCTTTGTGGGTTTCTATTTAGGCGACATGCCAAATGCTACGGTGTATATTTTCGCAATTACCGGTGGATTCTTCCTTTACATCTCTTTAGCAGATATGGTGAGTCATCGTTTCAGATCCCCTGAAACTTTTCTTCAAACCATCTCCATGTGCCGATGTTTTCCCAGGCAAACGTTATTCGGGGGCCTTATTGTTTGTTGCTTACCTGACTTCGTAACTCCGTTGCGGTCACTATCTCTCTAGCGAGTGTACTTTCGACCGATTCCTTCCAGTGCCTATTTCAACAGGATTAGTTTCTAATCACCTGATGGGAACTGCAAGCACCGATTTTAGACAAATTCCACTGGGACGTACAGTGTTGCAACGTAGGTGAAGGAGTGCTTCATAAAGGGCGGTGAAATAGCCTGGTTCCACAATTATATGTATTATGAAGTATAAGGAGCATGTAGGGACCAGAGAAATCGACAGAAGAAGGTTTCATGCATTTGGATATTTCAGACGGTTTTAATCTACAGGTGACCGTCAAGGACGACTGGAAGCTGAAGAGTCGGGATTAGCAGCACTCAAGAATACAATGCACTCAAGATCCAACAAATCAGCTCAGCACTGGAGGTGGCCAAAGTGCTATACACCCGAACTCAGACGGAACCAAGGGATGCGGTTCAGTCACGGTAATAGTTGTATTTTGTTTACACCTCGGCTTGGTACACTAACTTCGTGTGGAAAACTGTTGTTAGGCGACGTGACGATTACCAACTCATAGAACCGTATGTACGTGTTGACCAAGAACCGTGCCTGTTTGCTGATCGCACCGCGCAGCAAATGTGCCTTTACGCCGTTGAAGGTCATTCGCTATACAATGCCCATAGGCCGCTCACTACCTTCCAGTGAATTAAACATATATCCCGTTGACCTTGTTGACTACTCCACTGATACTGTGTTGTCAGACAATGTTTATTCTTGAATTCGGGGTCTTCAAGCAAGGTAAAGTGTGTCCAGCATATGCTCCAGTCGATCGGTGCAACCCGCTTTCTCAGCTTGGCTAGATATATTTTACCGTTTGTGTATCCTCAGGCGACTAGTGCAGAGTGTGAGGAACAGCGCCTGAACTCTGAAATATGAGCGGATGACACGCGTACGTGAATGATACGCGTGGATGACACGGCGTATGAGAAACGAAAGCATCGATGTGTGAATACACAAGCTCCGGATGGCCGGTAACCTCATGATGAAACCGGTTTCAGTAAAAACAATAATAATGAAAACCGCCTGGGAGCTAAATACCTGGAAACAACCATGACCAATATAGCTTCGTTCAGGTATAGAGCCCATTTCACGCCATTACCGGAGGATTAATGACTAGCTTCTACGGATATACTTGGTGCTTGACCGTAACAAAAAGGGATTTTGTAACGGAAGCTGTATATTTTTCATAGGTCTCGCCTTTGAGAGAGCCCCTGGTGGTCACACATGTGTTGCAAGGAATTCGAGTCGCCCCCATTGTGGTTTGCCTTACCTCTTCCTTTCGCTTTCGGCTCCTTGATGGTGGCAATAAGCTATATGATTTCCATGCACAGTATAAATTGGTGCCCAAAACACGATAACCACAACCCAGACATTACCAATATACGTCTGAGTTCACAGATATCCTATCTACCCTTGTTTACATGTTGCTTTTTCCTTTACGCTCCTTTTGTCCCGGCTGTTGCTGCCGGAAACAGCTTCCAGAATTGCGAAAATCTGAAGACCAATGTATGGAACAAGGTCAAGCTGTTCTACCCATATTCCTCATTCATTTTTTTGGTATGGTATTTGGATTCGGTTGCGTGACAGCGATCACATTGGCGGGAGAGCATATTGCTATCTGACTCTATCGCTTCTCCGATAGTGAACCAGTAATGAGAGCAACAAGCACCTCTTCATCTCTCCCATTGGTGAAACAACAAACATCCACTTGAGAAATGCCGGTCATTTGTCGAGATCTGGTTCAGGCTTTCAGGATCAACTGACGATAACTGTACTTTCAGTGTTCTTTTATACATATTTTACCAGTCCTATCTGTATACGCTCGATTCTGCTATCGTATATCAGCCCTACTTTTACTTGTCTCGTACTACTCGTCCTGTTTATCGGGTTTCAGTCAGAACCATGCTGATGAATTCGGCCTGTCGTTTGTACTTAGAAAGCTTGGGTATACTTAGTGCCGCAAGACCGAACCAAGCTTTTGCTAAAACCTATTAGTCGTCTGGACAACTACCATACACTTCAGCGATTTCAAACTGGATTTGGCGCTATACATCGTATATTTTGACGTCAACTTATTTTGTAGGTCCTTTAGTGGTGGCGGTCTTGAAGCTCTCGCAAAACGTCCGCCTCATACTCTGTGGTGGATGCACCGAAAAAATCGAACCTCGTTATGGGACACAGCTGTCGTTTCATCATCATCAACGACAGCATGACATCAGTGCTCAACACCAATGCTTCACTGCCGTACAGCCATGACTTATTTGAAAGCCTTATTGTAACTTGAGAAATGCCGGTCATTTGTCGAGATCTGGTTCAGGCTTTCAGGATCAACTGACGATAACTGTACTTTCAGTGTTCTTTTATACATATTTTACCAGTCCTATCTGTATACGCTCGATTCTGCTATCGTATATCAGCCCTACTTTTACTTGTCTCGTACTACTCGTCCTGTTTATCGGGTTTCAGTCAGAACCATGCTGATGAATTCGGCCTGTCGTTTGTACTTAGAAAGCTTGGGTATACTTAGTGCCGCAAGACCGAACCAAGCTTTTGCTAAAACCTATTAGTCGTCTGGACAACTACCATACACTTCAGCGATTTCAAACTGGATTTGGCGCTATACATCGTATATTTTGACGTCAACTTATTTTGTAGGTCCTTTAGTGGTGGCGGTCTTGAAGCTCTCGCAAAACGTCCGCCTCATACTCTGTGGTGGATGCACCGAAAAAATCGAACCTCGTTATGGGACACAGCTGTCGTTTGCAATCACCACTGCCATTTCCAGCACTCACTTTGTGAACTGAAGGTGCACACACTATCCTCTGACTTAGTTTTCTATATCTGTGTGCTCGAAGAGGCGACTGCCGTCTGTAGATCTAGTAGATTCCATTTAAAGTAGTAGCGAAATTTAAGGAATACGGTCGGGACTTCATCCTACAAGGGATTTCAGTCAGTGCTGGCAAGGCCTTCGTAGCACACGTATGAAGTCGAGAGTTTAAATCTCCGTAAACGTCCGTCAGATAGACATTGCTGATGACACCTAATGCGGATTACACGGGGTAGCTGTGCTTTTCATCTTGGATAGACTACACATCCCGAACCAAATTTTGATTGGGGATTAGGATTATACGCACTGCAAGAAAGAGTATTTGCTGTCTGATGCGGCACTTGATCTGTACCGCTGGAGGTTTGCAAACGTTACAAAGAACCTAGTTCTCACCATAGCAAAACCAAACTGGTTTACGACAAAGATTAACAGTCGTACACCAGTGAAGGGAAATTGCAACAGCAACGTCTCACAGTCATGACCTTAGACTGTCGAGAATTCGTGCTTCAGACCGAAGTCGGTTCAGGCATAATCGTTAACAATCACCACAAATGCAATGCACAGCCGTCGCTAACCTTTACCGAAGATGTTAGTAATCAAGAGTGAGAACTCACTGTGGTGGAAACATCCACTCCGCTTTGACTCAAAAACCTGCCACCTACCTTCGGTTTTCGTCGAGGATGGAATTTAGCATACAAAACTGTATTATGCAAAATATTTGATCAAACATCGTCTAAATAACGCGTCCAACGAGGACAAATGGAATGTACAAGTGGTCATGGTTTTCGGGATGAGTACTACGTCTGAAGTTGGGCCAACAAGGCTTGCACCTTCGGTATAACCTCCGAAAATTCAGCCAACGTTTGGCACCGAGTCCACAGCTGTGTTAAGTAATGAAGGAAACCACCGGAACGGATCATAGCGCGGGCCTGTGAAAGGGAATGAAATAACGATGATTGGTGGACTACAGTGAAAAAAATAACTACGATGAGTTTTCGTCGAGAAATTATACTGCGACATCTCCAATGTCATGCCAACTGAAACGTCAGACGGCCTTTGTGCAGCGCATTCAGGTGGGCGATAGCACAAAAAACAGATATCCTCGAACTTCCCGTTAATGTCAGTGTAATTTGCGGGAAAGTATTTCGTCAAGTACATATACTTGGGTATTCAAGAAGAAAGTTTAATAAGCCCTGAGTGTTTACATGACTTACGAATATTGCGGTGTGTCGAAACTACTTAAATATACTAATCAGTAGCGAAAAAACTCAAACGTACCTTTTCATTCCCGTGAGCGAGGGCTTGAAGTGCACTTACGGCCAGTGTGACCAGGCGCACTCTATGTGGATCCTCTTCCGAACGAAGCAGTAGTCCTTTGGCGCACTCGATTGTTTGTGTGTCTGTGAATAAAGGGGAACCGTCAGTGGACTATTTATTTCTGTAATTAGTGAGACTTCGAAACATCCACGAAAAACTGTCTCAGACTCACCTCCCGTTACAAACCGAGTCTTGAAAGCTGTGCTTGTACATAGGTTCCTTAGGGTAAGCAATGCTGTCTCGCGAGTGTATCCCTTCAGATAGAGTACGCAGTTTTCAACTAGTTCAGGAACCCCTGTAACGAGAGATACCGTATGTGCAGCGTGAAACAGTGGGAGGACGAAAGGTACTTTGATCTCACCTGAAGGTTAGTATGTTGTTTCATTCCTACAGGCGAATAAATTGAACGGTGACATGACTTGTTGGACAACAATGGGGTGCACGCGCGGACAATGCAAGTGCACCAGTGAAACTAACCGTACAGTGGGAAAGGTCATCTCGAGCGACTGCCGAAGAAGGGTAACAAAACCCTTCCGATCACGGAGTCTGCTAAGTAGGACGTGAGTTTGGCGCCTCCGAACATTAACTTTCCACTCCGTGTATTCGTTCCCTACATTCATTCAATGGAGGCAACCATATCCGGGTAGGACATCCTCAACAGCTGCTCCATGGAACAGGTCGAACAGGATCTTTTCAAGGTTGAGGCTGTTTTCAAAAACAGTGCTGAAGCATTTGAGACGACGATGAAATAGGAATCGACTGAGAAGTTTGGAACACAAGGGGGGGGGTATTACTGAGGAGCGTTCCCCTTTAACGAAAAGGCCTCTTCAGATCGAGCAAGTTACTAGAATAGTCGATTTGGAAGCAAGGCTTCGCGCGGAATGTATCCACCGATTGTCTGTAATTTTAAACCTGTGGCTGCCATAAGTTAAGGCATGATGAAGTGAGTTATTCCTATGCGACAACGGAACAAACCAAGAACCTCTCGTGTTAACGTTAGAACCGCTTACGTGGTTGGCTACACAGCACTTGTTGACCATCAGCGGTAAACGACAGGTTAAGCAGCAGCTGAAGCCATAAGGAAAGCATGAACTGTCCACGTCTCGACTTCGACAGGATTCGAGGTTCTAATACAGCGCACCGATGGAGCACCTTTGTCTGAAATGGAAAAACAAGACAAACAACTACATTTGAATACCAAGCTACTACCAGCTGAAATCAAGTTGACGTCTTGGCCTCGAAGTTCAGTACCCTCTCTGGTACACAAAGCCAAATGACCGACTTGATACGTCATAACTGTGTAGAAATCATGCGTTTCCAACAGCGCCAGGATAAATCACGAATGTGAAAGTCTGTTGAACCCAATCAGATAAAACAAACACTAACCTTGATCAAAACAGATCGTGCTTCAGTCGACCAGACCAAATTAGCCAGTAACTGATAGACAAGTCGGGAAGTAACTTCCTCGTTCAGCATTGGCACATCATTGCTGATATCAGAGCGTGCAAGAGATCGGGCTGTAGCCGGCAGATTCGCATTGGAACCGGTACGACTACTCGTTGTGAGGGCAAACTTGTCACAGGTAGGAAGCAACTGACATAACAGCTGAACCAGTGAACAACCGCTCAAGGATGAACTTGAGCTATCCGATGTGGCGTTAGATTGTTCACTTCGACCTGGATGTACAAAGAGATGGGTTGAGTAAGCAGACGGGGACTTATCTTTTGCATTGTGTGATAATCCCGCAGATTGTTTTACGTTAAGGCTCGTCAGTAACGCAAAGGTTATCTCTTAAATTAGTGGTCGTACACATTATTGATAATACTCCTGTTACATACTGGTGAGTCAACAGATGGAGTCCGTATAGAACATCGGAAAGACTAGTGAATGGAAGTATCTGGCGCGCGTAGTGATCGGACTAGGACCAACCACCGAGTTACTGTTCAAGTGTTCTCTACAGCTGTGGAAAGTTTTCTGGTGTAAAAGTTCCATACTTAATAAGATTCGATTCGCTTCGCTTTACATTAAGCTGTAGGACTTATCGTTCAAACGTATAGTTCAACCAGCAACAACCTATCGGCCAATTGCCATATTGATTGAACATACAACCTGCCAGCTTTCATCTGACCGCACTGAATTACGGAAATGGGTGAACGGACGTCTATTAATTTCTGAGTGACTGAGCCAACACAACATTGACCGAACTGAACGAGATGTAGCAGAAAACTGGCTTATTTTAACCCTCACATCTATTGACTTGCCATGAATATATTAGTGTCATCCAAGGCAAACTAGGCATCCCTCCGATGCAGCCCGTTAAGCTATTGACAAGTGGAACTCTAAATCGGTGCGCTAAAACGGCTGAATTCAAATGGGTAGGGGACACGAACCACTCTGTTAAACGCACCAGTGAGGCACCGATATCCAGGGAGCGTTCTTCTGGTTGTGAATGAGCTGAGTAACTAACCCTATCGGGCTGAAAGGCCTCTCAGGTCGCCTGCTGCATTCTGACTCGAAATAAAAGGTCCACGAACAGCATTCACGGGACCGCGCACTAACATCACTTGTGACCAGTGCAAACTCAAACAGTGTGCGAAAACAAATCCGCCCGGAATGTTCGTTTTCGGGATGAGGAGCACGTGTAATTCAGCTGAAGGACCGAACTGCGCAGCTTGATGACACGCAACGCTGGACTAATTATACCAAGTGTCCCAGATTTTGACAAAAACTATATAATTTGCAGGATATGAGTTCATCGGAGTTTGGCGAGAAACGGGATGTATTAACTATTTGGAATTGAAAACACATCGGCCTGGGATTATGAACCTCTCCAAACGGTCCCTCCTCCAACTCAAAATGAACTCTACAAGAGGTGAGTGAACTGCATAGTTCAATCGCTCGGGAATAAGTATCCCTTATGGGAAAGAAGGGTGAGGTGAGATCAATTTTTAGAGACCCCATGAAATTGGGAATAGTAGGCTCCTAGAAAAATAGCTCTACCTCTCGTTCTGAATGAACGGTGTATGGGCTGAAGACCTCCGAACATCCACCAAGTACATATTAGAAAATGAAGTGTTGCCTGATGGATCAAGGATCGACACGTCGCCAGTAGGTGGTGTTGTTTCGTGATACAAGTTGTGACGTGTGGAACAAAAACAGGGCGCGAGGGCTTGGGCGACCGCTACGACTCCACAAGACGCCGTGGTTCAAGAAAGCGCACTCTGAATTCTCGGTTAAAGGGGATATGTATAAGCAGAGAACTACAGCCTATTGCATCAAGAGCGAATCAGGTTAGCAATTCATGGCAAACGGGTTATTTTTAAAGTGTTATAAACAAACACCAAATTACCTGTGCTAGGCACAGTTCCTGATTTCACTCTCCGACCAGTTCGTGATGTGTTTTCTACCTCTCGTTTCACACTGGGTGTAAGTAATCCGTGTAACGTAGCCGCTTGAACCACATTCATTCCTTTAGCCAAAGCAGAAGCTCCATACGGATAGTCTGCTGTGAGATTAGTAAGAAGGCCGAGAAGTGCGTGCAGGATTCGGTTATCTTGAAGCCCGAGCGGCCAGAGCTGATAAGCCAACTGAAACAAAAGGGACTAGAACTTACAGAAGGAATGTAGTGTTCAGAAAAATGCGAGCAGATGCGCCCGCGTCCAGCACCTCAGTCAACAATATGGCTACCTGAATGGGCCTCAGTAGGCTTCCGCCACGGTGTTATTTTTGACTACAAGTCGACTATGCGCCTATGTTGTCCGTTTTCTCAACTCGCCTCGGCCAGTGCAATGTTACACCGATATTCATCGTAATAGCGCTCTTGCCTACCAACAATTGCAGTGTTCTGCAATCACGGCTTATGCAAGCGACAGGACTTGCGAGTACAATAAGGTAAAATATGAGTAAAGTGAACCCCGAAGAGCGAGACGGAGCGCTTCGACAGCGATATCTAGCTTGAGAGTTCCCGATAGTAATCTCCCTCACTCGCAACCAAGTCTGAAGGTTAGGGCGAATACCTTACTCAGTGTTTGTCTCTCTTGAGCTACAGTCATCTCATTTTTCATACCGTATTCCATCATCAGAAATATCTTTCTGGTGATATTAAACAAACATGCAGAGCAAACCACCCAGTCTAAACTCGCAGAAAGAATGTTACTAGACTGTAATTCCACAACCACTTAGTTCAACCTACTAAATGTTTTCCACTTAAACCCGCTAAAGAATCCCAGATAACAGAAAGCAAAAGCAGCTTCGTGCCACAGTAAATACAGCAAAACCTATTAGAAGCGCTCGCTGATGCAATCGGTCACCTCAGAAAGCCTTACAAACCAACGTCTTTTGTTGGATTGAAATGTATTCTTGCATACCTTTAGAGGAAACACAGTGTGGTGGATGGTATGCACGCAAACCACCTAACTGGTTGGTCATGGACAGTGAGCACCAACGACGATGACGCTGCGTAGTTCTAAGTGAAGCAATATCATATGATTCCAAAGCAATAAGGTTTGCTGAATTCAGACACCACAGAATTCACGCGGACAAGTTCGGCACAGACACGACCAACAGTATAAATGAAATGAAAAATACCTGCGGGAAACCAACATCAATTGCGCGCTTTTTGGCCTCGGGATGGACATAAACTAAATTGTGCACAATCTCGAAATTCGCTATGAGCTCTTCCGTCAGACTGGTCCAAGTCAACGTGGCTTGCCGTAGGTCCGAATTAGTCTGGTTGCGAGCGCTACCAGGGCGACGAACATCAGTTGAACTGGAACTGGCCGCGATGCAACAAAGGTCTAACTTTGCTTGTAGTAGTTGTATGTTGATGACGAGTTCTTCCAGCAATCCTTCTGTAAACAGAACCACGTACAGACAGATCAAGTCATCACCGAGGTGAAAAATCACAGACGAACACTAGTCGAATAAGCCGATTTTTCTCACCTTCTAAAGCTATTTCTTTCGCTGACCGGCACACTCCAAGCAAAGTTCGTAGTGCGGTGAGAAGCGTTCGCCGATAGTTGATCACAGGGCTTGGGAGTTTGGAGCTGACTAGCAGAGAAAATGGGTGCTGTACGGAAGAATTGCTAATCTGATCGGTGGAGACGAAATCCGATGTGACCAGAGAAACAAGTCTGTGCATAAGTTTGGAGAGGGAAGCTCTAGCCTCAGGTCCAGCATCCAATGCGCATATAATCGGATTAGATGAGAGTGGTCGATATTTTGAAAGACTCACGATGAGAAAACAGAGTGCAGCACGTGCACGTCGGCAGAACACTGAACTGTGGTAGAGTGAAACCGTGAGAGAGGAGTAAATCGAGTGAACCATACAATCAGATTTCGGCTTACATGCGGTTGCGTAGCACAGAGTCATTACCGGACGATATCATTTTCCCTAGCCGTAACAAACGTGGAACAAGGATAAGAAACTCTGTGATGCTGCTGCTTAACGTACAATGCTTCCAACAGAATGTAATTTCACCACACAAAAGACAAACAGTTTTGCCAGTGTGCGATGTTTGCAGGAATAAAACGTCTACAAAGTAACTGATATTCCTGGAAAAAACCCGGAGGCACTTTTCTGAAGGGTTCCCAAAGCTGCATCCGAACAACCATGTTCCATGCTCTTCCTCAAACACTCCGTTTCATGTGAATTTCTCTTATAAGGCTTACTGGAGTAAGATTTCCATTCACTTCACCTTGGAAATTTAGTTCAACCTCTGGCCGGACATCCGCAGAACACTCTATAGCTCACTGCTCCCGTTAAAAATCCCCAGCAATGGGATGTGAATCCGCAACCTGTGGGTTTAGACATTCTTATCTAAGGCCACAAATGGCCGAGCAGATTTGTCGTGTACTTTCCGTAGCCTACTTAACTACACATTGACTCCACTGTCGTCCAAAGACTGTGAGTTCAGATCTGATTCCGGATTCGTCAGAAATGTGCTTTTCATGGTTCTGGATGCACGGCGAGTGTATTTAGACTTTTCAGTATAGGTCGGTTTAGATTTGAAGATGCACGCCAAAAGGTGCGTGGAATGGTGGGAGAAATACCACAGCACTGTAGATATATATTATTACATGGTCTGAAGAGGTAATGCGGATACCTCAGTAAACTAAAGCAATGCAAAGCATGACAGTAACTCACCTATTTTGGACAGATGACTTCAGTTCTGTCTCCGCATGGTCAACCATTGCAAGGATGATATCCAACCACGAATCAACGTAAGCGGACAGCGGTCGGAGAATGAGACGCGCCAAAATATTCGTACTTTTCTCGTCTTCTTCAGATGTCATGAGAATGCAAGTCAACAGGATGAAAATTTCTTGCCATAGTGGAAACAGAAATTCTGCACATTCTGAAATGGGGTAAATAAGCTTAACACGATTAGGATAAGATATTTGGTAGAAACACAGCGGTTCGAATGGACAAGAAGTCATAATTAGCGAATATACACTCATTTGCAAACTAATTTGGTTTTTTGAGAGACCCACCTGGAACCTAGCTGAATTTCTGGGTTTTGATGTTTCCAGGCAACCGAATGTGCCAGGCCGCCTCATGTTTCAGTCCCTAAGATATTCGAGATATCGCTGAGCGATTCAGCTGCGCTCCAGGTGAGTCTCTCGAAAAACCAAATTAGTTTGCAAATGAGTGTATATTCGCTAATTATGACTTCTTGTCCATTCGAACCGCTGTGTTTCTACCAAATATCTTATCCTAATCGTGTTAAGCTTATTTACCCCATTTCAGAATGTGCAGAATTTCTGTTTCCACTATGGCAAGAAATTTTCATCCTGTTGACTTGCATTCTCATGACATCTGGAGTCATAATGTTTCGACCTTTTCGGTGGGGGCTTTAGCAAGCGAGTGACATCCGATTCACAATGAGTTTATTGCAAACCAAAAGAAACAGAGCAAAGAGGGGGTGGATGTTTGAACGGACAGAGTAGTTGGCTTGTTCACTGAGCTGGGCAATTTGATTGCAAACGTTCCATCACCACTCGAGGTGACATCATCAGTGCGTTATTGGGGAGCGTAGCGGTGGGTTAGTGGTTGTGCCTTTGATTAGGGGTGAGTGAACAACATACATAAGTGCACGTGTGACAAAATGAAATATTGTTTTGGGTATAAGTGATTAGTATTACTCAAGGATAGGGAAGACTAGACAGCTAGGAAAGATCTATATGTGGCGCTTCATGTCAACACGCTATGCCAGATAAGTGGTACATCTGCACCATCCGACCGGCTCGCTACGTTTGGTGTGTGGTTGACTCATGAGACTTCCGTTAGAAGCCTTTAGAAATCGGGCTTCAGTATTATGAGCTGATCGAAATTCACTCGAGGATCAGTCAACAGTGTATGGGCAGCTAATTTACACCATCCTTAGGTTGTTTCTTGTTAGGACGTTCATGTTCTTTCACTAAGTGTGTAGCTGTCTGACCAGCACGGCACACAGAGACACCCACCCGTCGCTGCATTGTAGTCCGTGGATCTAATGTGTAGTCTATCTGTTCTATCAAAGAATAAGTGTCTTTCAAATGGACCAGGCCTCTTCTATTGTATTCATCGCTAGAAATACCACTCTGATGAGTCTTCTATGGAGAATAGCACCTTCACCAATCACCGTCTAGGTTCTGCGTAAACCGTTATGGCTAAACTGCAGGATGTAGTTAGGAAAAGTTCTGTGTAACCATTCGACCCGAGAAACAGTAACTACTTCAGTCCCTTTCTCCATCATCCCAGTAGAGCTGGTTAGTCGTTCTAAGGTTCGACAACACACCGAACAGTGCAATATCCAGACCAAAAGATCTTACCAGTATGTTTTACACTTCGGATCAGTCTGGCCAAAAATCGTGCGTCTGAACCCAGTTGTGCGCACATAGCTTTATTCATAGAAGCTTCACATCTTAAAACCCGAATGCAGGCGGCGAAAGCAGATGACAGATGGATGATGCCGGTAGACCATGGATTAGAAGGATCATGTAGGATATCGATGCGGTTGTTACTGGTTAACTGGGGCCTTTTTGTGTGCGGAGTTGTCTTCAGCAGGACTTCTAAGAGACCTGAAACGGATAATTGACGTCAAAGTTACGAAGGTACAGAGTACACTGTGAGGAAGCGTGCTGAAGACAAAATCCTGAAATGGGTAGACAGATTCACCAAGTCTTGTATGAGACAATGTTAGCGTATTTTCAACGCAAAAANGGTTCGACAACACACCGAACAGTGCAATATCCAGACCAAAAGATCTTACCAGTATGTTTTACACTTCGGATCAGTCTGGCCAAAAATCGTGCGTCTGAACCCAGTTGTGCGCACATAGCTTTATTCATAGAAGCTTCACATCTTAAAACCCGAATGCAGGCGGCGAAAGCAGATGACAGATGGATGATGCCGGTAGACCATGGATTAGAAGGATCATGTAGGATATCGATGCGGTTGTTACTGGTTAACTGGGGCCTTTTTGTGTGCGGAGTTGTCTTCAGCAGGACTTCCAAGAGACCTGAAACGGACAATTGACGTCAAAGTTACGAAGGTACAGAGTACACTGTGAGGAAGCGTGCTGAAGACAAAATCCTGAAATGGGTAGACAGATTCACCAAGTCTTGTATGAGACAATGTTAGCGTATTTTCAACGCAAAAATGTTCCAGACACAAAAGTTAAGCACAAAGTTGAGGTGAAAAATATCAAGTTGTGCGAAAAATCGGGTTACTTCAGTCAGGTATGCAAAACTATCGTGTTTCAACTCAGAATAGGATATGAAATTTTCGTGAGACCGTGCACCGATGCAGTACCAGGTATAGCGAAAGTTGAGAAAGGTCAGAGTCCCGCTTTCTGAGTGAATTTATCGTGCAAGGGGTCGGCAAGGCAGGTTTCCAAGCGTCATTCTATTGAACAGTAATCAAGAAGAATTCTAAAACAAGTTTCCTGTGTTCCCATTGGATCAGCTACTATGAAAACCCCGAAATGAGATTCTCGAATTATTTTCGAGTGCAGGGTTTCACTACGCAGTGAAAGGCCAATAAGAGTGATGCAATAGTTAACAGGCGAACGGTAGGACGATAAGAGATTTTTTGCGCCAGCTGAGTTGACAACAGGACAAACAAACAATGGTGTCCGAATGCTTTATGATCAGGTCTCTAACGATGCTTTCAAGAAGGCCTTTATCTTTATTCTACGATAACTGTTGGGCAATTCCTTTCGTTGAACTAGAGCTGTTTACAACCAGATGCGGGTTAGGATTAGCTACACGGTGTTGTACCGAGTTTCAGAAGTACCCGACTCCTGATTATGTGCTACGTATAATCTAACGGAACTCTTGCTTCGTAGGTGTTTTCAGGTAAATTCACCGTTATCGAACTATCAGCACACCAGCTCAGCACAAGAACGAGCGAGGAATCTAAATTACACAGAACGGATGCAAACGAGTGCTTGTCCGCAAACAGTTCAGCCTGATGTCATAGTAGGAACTAAGCTTGATGGAAATTCGGGAATTAGATTAGAAGGTCGAAAACGGTAGTGCGTTATCCTAGTCTCCACCAACCGTACACACAGTGTCGTACCCGTGAAAGCACTTACTCGGATCCACGATATTCATCAGTAGAGAATGGATTCGGTACCGAGTCAGTTCAGTGGATATGATATGCGGCAAATGGTGCATGAGGTTAGTCAACAGTTGACAGATTGAACCGACCAAGAGCGGGGTGCACAAGGATTCACTGGTAGCTGAGTGAGAACCAGCGGTTTCACTGTGTGCCGTTTCAGTGAGAACCCGATTCGGGCATTGCTGATTAGTTGCGCCAGCGATCTGTGTAGTAGTGTGCGTGAATTCCTTGGGGATTAAGAGAGAGGTACATGTGTCAAGGGTAGTCAAGATGTGTACAACGGGGTACGGAAGCACACGATGAAATGGAACAGCATAAAGATGTTTGGATGGTTTTGCAGGTAGCTCGAAGCATGTAGATGCCCATATTTATATTAGAAACGCCACTCTAAGCAATATAAGTACTCGACACCGAATACACTCATTTGTCAACTGGATTTTCACGGGAAACTCAACTGAATCTCCCGTTTATGACATTTTTCAACTAAATATTTGGAAGTATGATAAACGAGAGTTTCAGTTGAGTCTCCCGTGAAAATCCAGTTGATTTGCAAAGGAGTGTATTCGTCGAGATCTGTCCAATTTGGGTTCAAGTAGAACATAAGGTCGACGGAAACTCGGGAACTGCGCCTACCTGATGAGCCTGAAGAGAGGCGGAACCAGTCGTGGAATGTTTTCAGAACCTTGTGAGTAACTTCCCTCATTAAAACAACTTTTCACCCAATAGGGAACCCCTACCATGGAGAAAGCGTCCTACATCTTTACAATGCGATCCTTACATACTAGCGATCGGACAGGAAGTATTTTGCTCCCAAATTGGAACACGTAGACATAAACAAAACAATCACAGTTTCAGCTGTGGCTTAAACCTCAGTGCTTTAGCTAGAGGAATAAGCCGATTTCTGTACATCCTAAACAAGCCAAGACACAGCAGGCTTGAGATTCAGTGCAGTTTGACGGTCGAATGATAGTCTTATAATTCCTCCGCGAAACGACTTGTCTTTCGCCGGAACAACCAAGGCGATGTAACCTAGTAAAACGGGAGGGGTTGGTTCGAAGATAATGAATGTGCAACTTATTGCATACCGTCGGGTAAGATGGGCGGTCCAAACCAGAAAACAATGCTATCAGCAAAGATTGCTCCCAAAGACAATATGATCTAAAAAGGTGCGCGAACTGGTTTGATGCCATTTTTTGCACTACGATATATAGAGTGCCTCCCACATAGCTGCTTTCAAGAAGATAACAATTCAGCCACCCGGGTTGAAAAGTATCTTTTGTGCACATGCCCTCCCATACTAAAAAGTAGGGCTTTAGTTTGCAATTCTGGGAGAATGCCACCGAATCAGTGCAACGGCACCACCATAGCGCACCTACCAGCGACCGGAGAAATTCGCCCTATAGAACGAATCCCGTAGGATGTTTATACGGACACGAAATTTCATCATGGTTGAATGAGACAGGGCATTTCATGCACACGTTCCAAGGTCAGAAATGCCAACTGATTGTTTTGAGACGATTTCTTGATCAGTACTATATAAGATTCACTTGAAAAGTGCAGCTTTCTCTAAGCCTACGATACATTGCAGGCATAATTCTACCGTAAGAAGATACTGACTAGACGTGTCCATCCCTAGAAGACATGGACTTAGAATCATGGACAGGTTTCATTATGCTTCTAAATACCCTTTGGTAGGCTTGTGTCCAACGTCGGGAAATGAGGCGCAAAAAAATTAACAAAGGACTATACCACTCCACAGAAGTGGGGTCAGTGCCCTATCGCAGAAATCACAACCAAACAAGCAGAAGCACTCTGCTTCCTGAATAGTTTATTTATTTGACAATGGCCAAATGGAATTACCGTCAAATTCGGTCAACAGGCTAATTGACAACCACGACATGCGACTTTTATTCTGTTATTCGTTCAACATGGTCAGGATCTAGGTTTATTTCTGGTAAAATAGCAGCACGGCTCCTGCTACCGGGATGTTATTGTCATTATTTGTTCATCTGTAAAAACCTTTCAGTGCCCGACCGCCACACTACCCGAAGAAAGCACCAGGAACGAGATACTGCCAAGCTGCCCAAGCCTGTAAAGGAGCAGAGGGGATGCCGTGGTTGGGTTCGAACCACAGACTTTCCGGTCAGTACGTTCGCGCCCTAATCACTGAGCCATCCCGAGCTCATATTAGAGCCTATACCAAGATTCATATCAGTTGATATCTACTGCAGCTGGACAGAAAACGTTACAAAAGTAGGGCTAAAAGCATTCATCCTCTACAAAAGGCACGATCATGGTTGGTCTTGAGAGCACATGGTGTTCATAGGAGACATTATATCCTTGTCTGCTCCATCGACAGCCTCATAAACACAAGCTAAACGCCTACAGACACAATCCGCACAATAAACCGGGTACGACTGACAATCGCAATGCCGTAACACAGCCCCAGCAACAGCTCAACCTGTGTATTCCTTGTAGGGTCTTCTGCGTTCACCATCCTCATCTCTCCTCGTGCCAAATGCCTTGTCTTTACCGATTATTCGTAAAGAAGCGGGATTAACGAACCCAATCGTAACTTACACCAATATGCGATGGATGATGGCTGAGTCCGGCTGAAAGTCCTCTCCAGCGAGAAGGTTCCATAACAGGTTGCGGAAGATACGCTGCCAAGAAACGATGAAGGACTTGAAACAAATTTTGTCCTATCACCAGATGTTGTAGAGCTGGTAGTCCTAGAAGACAGAGCTAGGGTTGCACATAAGTAGAATGATGATGTGAGAAATTCGAAGAACCAATCAAAACAAAGTAGATACCCAATTACAAGTTGGTGTTATGAACGTTGAAAGTTCACCACTTGGTGGTGCATAGTGCTGGCCTTGATATGAAGTACAATATTATGAACTAGCAGAGGTATTACTTTGCTTCGAAGTGGATTCAGGAACGTTTTGTGAATGAGTGTCAGGCGTAAAGCTGGAGACATTAATCTATGATTAAACACTCTTCAACGTTTCCACATGCCTGTCATAGCAGCACATAAAAAGCAAAAAAGGTCACAGGAACGATGGTCCACAATTAGTGATTCCAGGAGTTCTTCAGGGTGAATGGGATAGAATTGTTCAAAATGAGCGCTATATAAATTGAAACTATTTTGACCTGCATAGCTGGTGTATACTAATGAAAATTGGGGTTCCGACAGTTACACTGAAGGCCCAGGTTACCACTCTTCACAGCATGTTGGGTTTCTCTTGGCTTCATAAGCTCTGGTATTGTTTGGTGTTGTGTGGCAGGTCTTGTCTCACTGACTGCGATAACCGGTAGATCAGTAGGACTCTATAAACTGAGCTCTCTCTCTCTCAGCTACTACCTACCCTGATATAATGTGAACTAGTTCCATCTTACGACCATCTCGACCAGCCTATCCCTCATTTCACCATCGGTTGGAAACATGGTCTGTCGCATTCGATTTATCAGCAAGACTGTTCTGCTGACTTCTTCACTGTCGGTGTTCTAGTGCAACAGTTCACATGTACTTCCACTGACAAAAAAGCTTCGCTGACTTTCTCACTTTACATGTGGTGCTGAGTAAAGGTAAGTCCTCAGAAAGGGACCAGCTGGGAGAATTGAAATCTGGTTTCCCAAAGTAAACAACAATGATTTATTGTCACCGTCTGGGTACCCTGAAGTGATGAGAATGCAGCAAACAGACAAGCACTTGAGTACCGTGGAAAACTTACCCCACTATATTGGTCGGAAAAGCACGGCAGCATTGTATCACGTGGTACTTCAGAGGTGTGAATTAGCAAAGGTTGGCTTGTTGTCGTTGTTACCGTGTTTAACGGTTGAACACCACCTTCAACGAACAGTTCACTGAACCAAGGCCGAAGATAACCTAAAAGCTCCGCAAAGTTATGCCGCAATTCATTCGAGTCCAGTTCGGAATTGAACAAATCACGCAAATCCAAAACTTCGGAATCCTCTTCCACTTGCGTACTGGTGGTCAATGTGGGTCTGTCACCAGCAGATATCGCACTATTGGCACCGGGTGCAGAAGGAGACTGATTCAAAGCCTCTGTATCAGTGGACGCACGTTCCTCGGATGATAATGGTCGACCGCTTGAGGTGATACGAGTTTGCAGGCTGGGCGCTTGAGGTACCGAACGATAAGTGCTCTCAACCGACGGAAGAACAAAAATTCCCGACCTACTGGAATCAATGGGTAAACTCGTGAGGTTTGTCAGCATGTCCACAGCGTGTGCATAACAAGAACAAGCTTCTTTCTGATCGAACAAGGTGGATATTCCAATGCACCAAAGCCGACCACCCGAAGGTGGAAGTGTCCGAGATCGGGTGGCAAGCAGAGTTTTTGTGTCTACTGACGGTTCGAATGATGTGAATTCTCGGGCCCAATCTGGGATTAGACAAATACGACTGAGGATACAGAGACCCAATGCTCGGATCTGGAAGAAGAGAAGCGAGAATACTAATCAAGTATGTCGATTGGGATGGAACATGCTTTATTCGAAGGAATTACAAAAACAAAAGATGGATAAGAATGAGGCTTTATACTCCGAGGGACTAAAAAAACTCAACTAACACCTCAATTGCCAACACTGAGAGTAGGCAATCTCGGTGCAGAAAACACGTTCGGCATTGAAGACAAAGCTTCTGTGCGAGTTCTTGAGTAAGAGAGCGAAGTCTTTTCTTATTTTCTGATAACCCGATGCCTTCAGTTATCAGTAGGCCGTGTGCCAAAGGACGCTTAGTACAGATTGGGGCCACGTCCGTCCTGTTCATTTTCCCACTTCCTTGCTGTTTCTAATAAATATGATGACGGAGCCCAACCAGAGGTGGCTAAAGGATTTTTCTAATGGATTCTACCAAACGTGACCATACTCCTCAAAATGCATCTAATCAATTAGACGATGTGAACAGGTTGCAAGCTCGAAAAGAGTGTCCTTATCTGCGAATCTGTGTTTAACCGAATTTCGTTACCAACACTCATTTCAGCTTTCCACCAAAAAATCGGTGTAGCCTTTCGATTTTTCAGTCTAATCTAATGGCAGTTGTACGAAAACGATGTTTGATCCTCGTGAAAATTACCATCTGAACTTTCACTTGCAAAGGCTTGAACACGGCTCAATTGGAGGAGCTACGGTAAACACCCACCGGTAAGGATCATCTTTCCACACTGATAAACTTCATAGGTGGCTACATCACCAGCCAAACCGCTTTTCGTGTAAATTTAAAGGAAAATACTGTTCGATTTTGATGGAACGATAGCAAGTTAATGTGCAAGTTAAATGTTCAACTCCTACAGAGCGACTTTTCTAGATGGGTCCCATCTGCAGTTACTTCAGATGAGTTTCACTGTACATCAGAAACCGACTCAAATCAGGTTGCGCTGGCAGTCCAGAGAACAGAGATTACAAAAAACTCGACGAGTCCTTATCCTGGTTAGACACGTACCTCGACAGAACGGTAAACTATACATCGTAAAAGCCAATCGGATCGAGGCCACTGCAATGGCTGAGATGACTGTGCACCGATAAGGGACCGCACAGTAAACTCGTCCTTTGACAACACCGCATTCAGCAGGGACCGATTTGCTGAAATTCGATATACAATGTTGGCAACAGTAGTCAGCATTAACCGCAGCGGACCCATTCCAATAAAAGAATCGCTGGACTCCTCACGTCCGGAATCGAACTGTGCCAGAATTGTGGTTGTGAGATGCAAGAGTACCAATAACGAAGATCCGTCAAACTTTGCATGCCATAGTGATCTACCACAGCCAGAAAGAGATATGAAATATGTGTGAGGTTGTAGCCTTACCTCTAGTGTGTCAAAAACAGCTGACAAAAGCAGGACTTACGGTGAAGTCACATTGGACAAAACACCAAGTACCAGACAAAGACGAACCAGATCCGAGAATGGCGCCCCAAGGAAGCTCTTCAGAGAATTCTGAACCCATTGCAGACATAGGTTCAAAAACTCCACCGGTTTGACAGGGCTGATGAGTCAAATGCAGAAGGAAATGACAAATTGGGTGATCTCCATAACGACACTAGTCAGTGAAAACTGTTCATGACTTGGGGGAGTCGAACATGTGGAAATGATCACGTACCATGTCTGATTAGGTGCATCCGATAGAGAAGAATCCCACATGGGCCCCCGCATGGGCCAGACTCCATTGGATGATACGTTCAGTACACGCAGGCGCTCTGTCAAGCTATATATGAGCTGTGGTAGCCGACGGTTGACCAGGTAGTGCTTTGAGGAAGCCAAGCGATGACTGTCCGTCTGGCCTACTGCCGCACTTGGTTCCAGTAAGCAATATGCCAGAGGGCCTTGCGTGTCAACCAACAGGTCCATCAGCCAGGAGCACAACTACATGGAAATGGACGGGAAGAAACGAAATGTCGCCTGTACTACGACCGTTGGAGAGAGATCATTATACAGGACATTGAAACGGAAGAATGTATAAGGTCTAGGTTGATATGTGGCCCAACGCGTCAACTTTCGCCTTTTATGCTACATAGTAGTTGAAGTGAATGGCAGTCAGCTGTTAATTTTTGGAAATAGGCTATCCGGTGATGATAACGCTGATAGACAGCACCGACTATTTACATAGAACGGTAAAATTGCCTATTAGCCGTTACATATAAGGCCACTTCGGTCGTGATGGCAGTTCATTAGATCAACCCCGACAAACTCATCTTCGATGATAGCCGCACCAGTATTGAACCGTGGTAGAGTCTTTCGTCAAACCGAACACACCGTTTTCCAAATGGTCTATTAGTATCCAGTTTCATTAGAACCGTGTCTAAACAGCGAATTACAACCTTCCGCGCATCGCTTCTAGCATTTGAACTAGGTTCTGTTTCGCCTCCGGTGTTGTCTAGGTCAATAGGAAAACAACATCTGGACTATTTGCCACTTATGTTGGGAAACGAGCTAAACAAGCATCACGGAATACCATCAATATCATCGAAGCTTGAGTCTAAAAACCTGCGACCTGAAAGCACTCTGAAAACCATCGAATCTCTCTAGCTGAGGAACACTAGATTCATTATTTTCAGATGTAGAAACCGCGTACTTGTTTGTACAGTGCTTATAGCTGCCAGTTTTGTTCGTCGAAGGTAGTGAAGGTAGTAGCTGTTATAAATGATGCATCAACACTGGGGTGTCAGTGGGATTTTCATTAGGGAGAGTGAGAGGGATAGCTATGAACTGAAGACAAGTGATTGAAAGAATGTACGCCACGATGTGCTGGTAATAACTTTCATTCTTCGTTGCCAAGTTAAATCCTGGACTGGGGGTAACGAACTATGATGCTTTAAGAACAACAGCTGGCTCGTTATTCCTACTGCGGATTCTGTGGCAGCAAAGACAAGACTGCACCTAGAGCTATTGTCATGCTTTTTAAAGGAAATATCATTCCCCAGTAACCCACACAAAAAAACATAGTTAGCAGACGAGCATCTTATGGCGAGAGCGAATGTCAACGAGAGATCGGTGAGCTGAATCTCTCGCCGTCTAAAGCGAGGTAGCAAATACGTTGATAACATCAGAGAAAATAGGGGCCTTCAAGTGCACAGGGGCACCCCTTGGGAGTAAACTGTACGGGAACAAGATTACATTTTTTTACTTCCTTAACTTAGGCCATGTTGGTGGTTGCCTTAAACGGAAATGGAGGGATTTTGAACAAAAAGCCCTCAAAAACGAAACTGCAGAGATGTGGCTTTTTACCAACTTTGGATGAAATAGTAACAATGGGTGGTCCCGTATTCTATCACACTTATTTTTCATCTTATTTGGAATAATATCCGTTTGACCTGAATAGATTTTCTCAGCGTTACCCGTTGACCTTAAAAGCACTGATAATCCAATAATTTTGCCGTAGGTATCTATCCTCATGCAAATGCGCACCGCATAACTATATTCTTTTTTGATATCCTATTTTCGGTTCCTGTTTGCTTACAGCGATATCAATCAATTTAGCTGGCCATCTAGCTGCTGTCACATCAACAAATGTTCAATGATCGTAACAGCGAGCATTAAACTGGAAATAGGCAGTTGAATTAATAATACCGTTGTATCCATGCACCATGAGAGAATTGGAGATTTGCTTAGCACCTACTTTTCTCTGAGTCCACATATGCCACTCTAACCTGTGGTGCATCCGAAGAACATCTGGGGTCTACTGGGTATCCAAGAAAGTTCGAGAAGTAGTTCGGAACCGGTCGGGAAGTCATCGTTTCAGAATGGCCTGGTAAACTACCGATTGTTTGACAAACAAAGTGTTTACCACAAGCTGTTTAGTGTTGGATCCACACTGGCTTGGAGTGCCGCAAAGCGATACACTATGTTCATAAGATTTAACATAAAATCACAAAAGAATGCAAAGCACCAGTTGGAAAACTGCCCTAATACTTGGTATTTTAGCATATTTCTTCCAAATAAGGAAACCTCGCCAAATTATATCAAGTGCACAGTGAGAATACCGAATATTCGATCGGAGAGCCTTGAATCGGAAATGAAATACACGCATACAAAAATGTAAGCGTTCTCGCACCTGTAATGACTTGAAATAAAGATGGGATTCAAGATGCACTTTCTCAATGGGTTTGAAGTCGAAGGCTTTTATAAATTCAACAGCGGTCCATTTTTTTTGCTAGCCCCTAAATAACCGAAAGTCATTGGTAAGAAACGACATGAGAGAAGGGGGTATGATGAAATACAGTCACCTGCAAATTAACTTGGTTTTAATGAAAAGAGCAATTGAATTCTAGCTGAATATTTCGCTTATGGTATTCTCCGACTGAATGTGCTGTACACAGACCATCTCATTTGGTACGACATTCGAGATGTGAGTGTATGTCCTTGACGGAGCACCCGCGACAGCCCACGACTAGTTTCTTCCTTCCTGAGGCACATCGGACAGCCACACTCTTTGAGTTTCCGTCAACTCAATGAATAGTGTACTGTGGTATCTCGAATATCGTGCCAACAGAAACATGAGGCGACATTTGTGCAGCATACTCAGTTGAAGAACGTCATAAGCGAGAGTTCAGTCAGAATTTAGTTGAGTCTCCCGTTCCTATCAAATTGGTGTGCAAATAAGTGCATTTCGCGAATGGCGTCTAGTAATTCAAGCAGAAAATAAGGTTGACGGAAACTCTGGGTCTGCGTCTGCCTGGTGGGCTCCAAGAATAGCAATGCGAGTCGTGCGCTGTCGAAGTCTTCGGCAAGCTTATGTGTGGCATTCATTCAAGGTATATATTGAACTTTCAATAAGAAATCTAAATAGGCACAGTGGAAGCAAGAAGATGAAGTCTAGGGCTAGAGTCGAACAGGCATAGCGTTCTAGGTGTCACAGTTGACACAAGTCCTGGCGAGAAATGACCTCAATCGTCCGTTTTCGTTCACACTACTCCACATCCGTTTTCTTATTTGACACTCAAATAAACACTCCTGAAGTCCCCTTTCTTGACCCGGATATTAGGTTCGGCATTTCCTAGACGGGTCAGATGACGGTATGGCTATAACTAAAGGCTGAAACTACGTCACAGAGCAAGATTGTAAGCTAATAAGAAACGACAACAACTATTCAAGTTATTGGGTTGAGTACCTGCCAACTGGTGTCAAATGATGGTTCTGGGAATAAGGACGATCGTATACCCAGGCGCTCGATAGTTTCCAATAATGAAGCCAGTATGTGGAAATCTGCGGAACACGAAGGGAGTGTAGAAAGGAACCGTTCAAGATGACAGAATGTCCACCAGTGGAACCTGCTTTCAAGTGGAATGTCCATGATCCAACCGGTGTGAGAAACGTGTGCCTCGAATGACCGACACAGCAACGAGAGGGATTGGACAAGGGCTGCATGGCTGGTAGCTTGTTGGATGGCAATCAGACTGAGCAGTGTACTCGCACCTGGATAGCTGAGAAGCAATAGCGTCAAGTCCCCACAGGATAGGGAAAGTTGGTTAGTGAAACTAAAAAGGAAGCAAATGAACCCCGTTTATTCTGCTGTTATATGGGAAATTCACATGAATAAGACAAAAATAAGTTTTCATTGATGTTGGACACCGCCTTATGAGAAAAAAAATCAAAGCTGATAATAGATGTACAGCGGATACCAGCGTCGGTGATTTTTTTATTATCAAAACAGTCGGTGGACCCGTGGATGGGCCATACTATCCTAAGCAGAGTAATATAGTATACTCACTTCATAGACAGTAGCTCATTCCTCTGATCTCAATCAACTCAACGTTTTGCTGCCTTCTGTTACCGGGGATGACATTACCATTCACTAATGAGATTTTACGTAGGACAAAAAACAGGAAATGTATGTCACACGTGTTTGTATTAGAACTAGCACAATTCTGAACGAAAAGAGCGAAACCAACCGAAATCGGTTGCATTAATGAAGATTCGAAACGCCAGAGGCGAACAAAAAGTGGTCTTTTTTGAGGTGGGGGATCTATAGATGGAACAAAGGCATCCTCAGAAAAGTGGTTCATTACCATCATTAGCGGCGGCAATACATTGGCCCTGATACGAAAACGTTGCTATTCCGATATGTGACTGCCCTCATCCCAATCACCAAATTTAAAAGGAACCAGGTTGCACTATTTTGAATTAATCGTCTTTGATCGCTGTCTCTCTCGAGGACATTCGGTGAAGGAGAATTGCTGACAACACTAACACAAAGTTTCCAAGTAGAACATAACGCAGTAGTAAAGAAATAATCACGATAGGTAATAACAGTAAACAATACACAACAAAGTAACAGCTGTCTGTTGTGAAGGTCGATTTAGCACTTGTCTATTTTGTGGAACCGTCTCAACCACATTGTGAAGATAGTCCAAAAGAAACATTTGCAAGAAGACCGGATGCCAGTTAACTACATCTAGTTGACTACTAGCCTTTCTTAGTCGCAGCTTCAGACAGACCGATCTATCTATCGCGCGCTGTCTTTCCGTAATCGCCCTTGAATTCAACTAAGACTGCCTGTAGTTGCTTGGTTATCGGTGCCATTCACGAGGTCAGGTGATAGAAGAGCAACCTCTCGAAAACAGTAAATAGTGAGCTGTTGATTAGATACTGCCTCTCCCTCAATAGAGCCTAAAAAAGACAATCGTTCAGCCTTTCGGCGCTCAACTGTCATGTCACCAGACGGAAGCACGAGGGCTGGGATACTTCCAGGTTGCCCAATCCTGGAAGAGAAGTCGAGAGGTAGAGGTCAGGTTCGAACCACAGACCTCCCGGTCAGTAAATTCACGCTCTAACCACTGAGCTGTCCCGCGACCTCGAGATAGCTCAGCGTTTAATGCGGGGACCTATTGACTGGGAGGTCTGTGCTTCTAACCCAACTTCTGCATCTCGAATGCTCTTGTCTATGCCTAGCAACAGCAAAGCCCTCATGCATCCTTAAGGTGGTATGGAAGCTATGCACTAAAAGGATGTTACGTCTGAACGATTATTATGATTGTGACTTGTCTGCAAAACTATTCTGCAAAACATGGATAAGAAAGAAGCAGGGACAATAAATAATAAATACTGATGGAGCAGTGGCGTGCATGGAAACGTAAATTAATATAGTCAGTAAGTTTGTAGGTGAAAGACAACTCTACGCTTGGCGATGCATTACAATCCAGTCAAGGATAACAAAATATATACACCAGTAATTCACACTGCACTACTTGATACGCACGAGGTAAAGTTGTGAGAACGTCTGAAGCAAAGATCTGCGAAATCGGGATCGACCGTGTTGGGATTGACAGACGCGCCGAGAAGGTTCAAGCTATGTTTAATGAAATTTGATGGTCCATCATGACAAGCGAAAGACCAGGAGTAGCGAAAACTGCGCCTAACCAAGTTCTGTACGGCCATTGTATTCTGATCAGGTGCATGTGTGCTCAACAAATCGAGTAAAACTTCAAACGGAGAGCAACGGGAAAGTCGAGCATTGTTACCAGCCTCATTCCAGTGACAGCGAAGAGAATACGTGGCACAAGTGAAGGGGAGCCTATATCCAGCGCAGATACTCTCAGGTAGAGAAACTGGACACCTGAAGAGAATAAAGAAAGGAAGTTGGTTATTTCGAGCAGTTTAGGAGAAGGAAATTCTTCTGTGTGAGTAGCAACACAGTAAACTTTGCTTTTCCAGCACTAAACGTTGCCAACATCTATGTCACAGAGTTTCTCATCGTGAACCAAAGTAAATATTTATGAATTTTTGGTTGACCAGAAAGTGAATGATGCTGTTCTGTTGATCGGATATACCACATATAACTAGAACGGCCGAGACCCAACTATCAACGGGCAAACAGGCAGAACGTTCGACACAGCGAATTTCGCTGAAGGATTAGTCCACAAACAAGCTGTACATCACCCGCATAAGAGATAAGAAAAAAGACAAACTTGGGATGACAAAACCGAAATCAATGAGGAAAACTCATGGTGCAAAAACAACTTACTCTTCGGTCATTTGGATGACCGGATGGAAGAGGATCAGGGAGATAATGTCTACCAAGTTTTGATGCATACCGCTGCAATCAGGATGCATAATTAGCACTGGAATAAAGAGAAAAAGATATTAAGAATCCATTCCCTGTTCGGTTAAAATGTACTCAGCCAGCCAGTAACTCAGAGAGCTTACGGTAAATAAGGTGGAATAAGAAATCCTCAGTTGACAACTGTTGTCGAATGTTGGGTCTCCAAACGACGCTGAACCGAAGCATCCGCAACAAGGAAGTAGACACTGCTTGACGAATCAGGTGGAATTAGTGTGTGGTACGGATCTGGTGACTTGGTCCGCGCGCTGTTGACAATATGTTCCTCAACTGTTTGCTCCACAAGCCGGCGACATTGCTGTAAGCCTTGGTTTACCAGCCAGGCTTCCAAGATAAGAGGACCTGAAGTAAAACAAGAGGAGATATACAGACCGGGAAACAAACAAAGACTGTCATGCGAAGGTACGAGTAACGTTGAGAAGAGTCCTGTTAACACGAACAACTTACTTCTGATTAGGAAAAGCAATTGTTCACCAGCAGCACGACGGACGTCAAGGTCACTTCCGCAGTCGATTAAAGCCTGCATCAAGCGAGGTACATTGTCGGCCTGATCGGTATCAACAGGACCTGATAGTATGTTATCTTGATGATCCAAAACGAAGGATGGAATTTGTTGTTGGCCTGATGAACTGTCCGCTCCAAACACCAGACCATTCATAAGGGTCTGTACCAGCAACAACTCCGATGAGTTACGATCCACTGGGGTGCTGGTCTTATGCATCCCAACAGGTTTGCTCGCATCAGCACACTCTGTGGAAACACTCATCCCAGTAACCACACGAGACTCAGTTGCTGTCGACGTACTCCCTTCAACCGGGTGTGCAGGTTGGCTATATCCGGAACAAAATGCTCGAAAATGTTCAGCGAATGCAGTAGCTGCAGCCTCTCGAACTTTAGCATCCGGATGAAAAAGTAGGCGGCCACAAGAGTGTGATATTTTGTGGCTATTAACTGACTGGAACGAAATGAGCAAGACCCATAGTGAGAAAGACCACACTAAACATATTTTATCTATCTCATCGTAAAACGGTGAGAATGACGTCATATTCACAGTACAAAATGTGGAGAGCATTGAGTAGAAGAGAATTAGTAAGGCTGTGCGACACCCAGGTGGAGTTTATCCAAACAAACATTCAAAGTGGTGTCATATGGTCTAATTTGCCTGTATTGAGTTCAGAAGCAACATAGTTCACAGGGAAGTAAAATGCGGTCGGTCATGTTAACGTAAAGTAACTATGCATCCACGATAAAGGCACATCAGATGAATGCAACGACCGAATGTCCATGGAAACCAAACCAAAAAAAATATCAATACGAAAGGAAATTGAAATTGAGCACCGTGGAATCTGCACGTCCTTATAGCTGATTCCCATGCGATTCTCCCTTTTTGTGACCGGAAACCCTGAAGCATAGGGCACGTAAAATAGCTAGAAGGCAACATGACTTGGAACGTAAGTCTTTGTGCGACGGGATTGTGTCTAATAAGGCACCAAAAAGAAGCTAAATGTGACCTTTTGTTTTATTTTATTCGAGATAAAGAAGCTCACACCCTTCCCCGGAAATAAACTCGCCCCCCCCCCAAGAAACAAGAATTTGAATATCTGACCAACTCGGAAGTCCAAGAAGCGTTTTCCTGAGATAGCTAGGCATTGGAAAGTGAATGGGGGACGAGATTGACCAAATAGTTAGAGCGCGAATTTACCTACCGGAAGGTCCATGGTTCGAACCCGACATCCGCCTCTCGACTTCCCCTGTCTAGGCTTGGGCGACCTGGCAGTATCCCAGCCCTCGTGCCTAATTCGTATGGCATGGCAGCTAGGGACCGAAAGGGTGCTACAGCTGAACGATCTTTTTTGAAAAGTGAATGAGCCACCGAATTAAAAACAGAACACTCGCCTATTAGGAGGAACCAAAATCCATGATGATTCATTCAGCCGAAGTACTGTCCGTTTCTATTACGATTATTGAACCACTGGTCCGTTAGCATATATTTTCCTCATAGAAAATGGTTTCTTCCTAAGCTTTCCTTCGTCGAGCAAAGCCTAGAATCATGTTCAGTAGTTTCAACTTTATTAGGACTCATCAGTAGTGTGCATCTTACAAGTCTCTACGGAGCATCCCGATTGCAAAAGTTCCATTACTCACCAACTGAATACACGCATATAACGTGACATAGTGCCAGTCCCCAAGGCGACTATCCCAGATCAAGGCCAATGTGAATTGATACGATATGTCCCTCTTGGAGCATAGTGTAGCATAGACTAGTCGGAGGTCCCGATTTCGAACTTGGTTCTGCTAAACGACTTATGTTGAATTTGACAGTGTCACTTGGTACTTCGACATCCCAAAAGGTTAGATAGACATATAGTAGACTTGTCAGAAACTTACACCTTTCTGGTAGAGTCGCTCTGACTCATTGTATGTTACATGTAGCGGACACCGATCACCAGCTGCGAACCAGTCATCTCAGAATAAACTAATAAACTATATACAACACAGTCAACAAAGGCTGTGCGACCCGGTCAGGCAGTACAATTCTAAACAGATGCACTCGAGAACGCTGAAACTGAAACACTAGAATAGATTACATAATGCATGCCCAGTCAGTCAGACCGAAGAGTTGAGAGCGTACCTCGTCTAGCAAAACGGGCTTCCAACCACAAGCAGCCGGTCGGCGACCGGATGGTGTCATCAAACCCAAACACCAGTCCAGAACAAGCTCACCGAACGCAGGGTTAGCGCCACGATCTACTGATGGCGGCGCAGCATGAGGACCAAAAATTACGCTGAGCGGATACGTTGATGCAACGGAGGAGCAAGCCCCCGGCGCGCATGTATCCAGAATGAGGTGATAAAGAGTACACCAACTTGACCGGGAAAGAAGTTCATATGAGTTCAGAAGACACACCAACAGCTGTTCCGCCAACGAACGAATCTGAAACAGGAGAAGAGTTTTCAGCAACCTTGTGAGTAGTTTCCTTTAGGAGATGACAACCTTAACACAGCCTTCATACAGGGTGGAGCTATCCGTCACACGACTGCGACATTGGCGGATAACAAATTGGTGTAAAGACAGTGAGTGAAATGAGTTACTTCTTTTATCCCTTTCTACGTCTTTTGTTGACGAGACAACATGGTCACACAAATTTTAAACCGGGGTCGGCAACAATCTGACGGCTTCCATGCTGGGATTCAAACCTGGGTCATCGGTGGCAAAGTTCCCAATGTTAGCCATTGGGCTAACGCTAGCAGGAATATACTCATACAGCATTCCCATCGAAGAGAAGACACCAGGTTGAAAGATAACTTCTGCTGGTTGATGGATTCACCACAGGATTGCAGATATATATATATATATATATATATATAGTGTACAGCAAAAGTAGACTTACCTCAGCATTGGTGTCTTTCAAGCCGAATTCCACGCACTCAATAAGAACGTCCCTGTGCAGCAGAAAAACGAGGTCGTTTGGAGCTTGTGTAGGATCCGCTACGACGCGAGGATTTATCGCACGCTGCTCAGTTTGGATCGAAACCGAAGTAGGAGTAGGTGGGAAAATAGAAGCAGTTGTGAAATAGACCATGAGAGACTCATCGGCAGGACAAGCGGTTCATATCTCTCCGAAAAGAAAACCAGTGTTTCAAGTATGGAGTAAACCGAGGCTATCCTCGTGTTTGGAAGCACCAAGCAACCTTTGCAATCTTCGACACTGTTTCAAACAGGTTACACCTTCAAAGATTTAGCATAGCTGAGTGGCGCTGCTGAATCAAAACTATCGCCTTCAAAGCGTAATTGCCCAGTTTTCCGTTCCCGTATAGTAACATACAATGCAGCAGCATCACCAAAGACAATAAGACCAGTGTTGACAGTGATGCTTCACTGTCGTGCAATCAAAAGGTCTACTTAACACTTGGAGCCTTGAATTGAAAAGAAACGGAAGTAGTGGGTAAAGAACGAACTTGGTACTGTCTTGTCGCAGGTATACTGAAGTTCCCACACCTTCACCCGCTCAGTCAAACGACCTGGAGAGAAACCGATAGCACGAACGCCACTGACTTCAATTAGCCTCCATTTCTCCAACCAAGCACAGGGGGTCACATAGACTCCAACCTGGAATGCGGACCGCGCCATCAACACCTAAGCTCTTCGTAATCTCTTTCACACCCCTCTGCCAAGTCATACAATGCAAACCCACTGATCAACCCATCGTCTTCCACACTTCCATTCTATGATGAGCGAAAGTGTAGCAGCTAGAACCAACGTACCATCATCGGTGGTTAGTTTATAGCTGGTAAACTGAAACTGAAAACCGAAGCGTCCTCAGTGGACATCACATCAATAGAACAGATTCTCATTAAAGCTCAACCGCAGTGGATACGATTGGTCGTGCATGGGATTGAATCAACGAAGCCTAACATACGATACGATGATTTTGCCTTTACTCCACCAGAGCACGCTGGGTGGAGTCATCATCACTTCTGAAAAGCGAAGATGTTCGTAACTGGACGAAGCTAGGCTCGGGCAAGCATAACATTGTAACAAAGAATACGGATGTCAGTAGATCAGATAGGTGATAGAATGAACACCTTGAACCTCGACCACTTCAGTTTTGACCTGGTTGTTTACTCAAAGACGAGCACTATCAAGGTAACCTCCAATACACCAGGTCTAGGATCATGTCAATATAGAAAACTTTAGACAGGAGAATTCGAGCGCATACGATTGCCCACCGAATTTTCGCAGTGATCAAGTATAATCCAAAATCACCCCATAAACAGGAACATGCGGTACACTTCCAACATGCCAATCTTTTTGGACTGTATAACAAACAAGACTGATAGTAAAAATTAAACCAACCGTATACTAGGAAGCAAAACATATTGGTGCACCTTTCAGCCATTATCCGGCTCGGTATTCGCCAGTATCGCCTAGCAACTTTAGCGCGACGACCTGTCTTTATGTGGCAATGGGATGTTTGTAAACTAATTGCAAAGCGAATCACAAACTCACGCAAACTACTTCTTTCAGCTGGGCGTAGGTAGCCTTCCTCACGAGATCCAGTGAATGGCTTAATAGATTGAGCAAGGTTTGTTGACCGAGCCAGAGTGTAGCTGGACCGACAGAACGATTTTTGGTCGAACTGGGAAACGAGTGAAAATCTGAGTAGCAAACATGTTCAAACATGTCCAGAACTGGGTAAAATTGCATTCGGATGTGCATTTTCCACATTTCATTAAGCCAATTCACTAGACACGGAAGGCGTAAGATACAAAACTTTCTGCGTTTCTGAACATAAATTAACCGGAGGATTCAGCAAAATCAAGAAAAAAAGGAACACAATGTTTCTCACAGACGGTCTCGATCCAACTAGTTGATTAGCCATATTGTGAGGTATTGTTACCTCAGGCAAAACATCCAACAAACAAACTGGTGTAGACCGCTGAAGATCGTCAGCGCATATTGTGACAATGTGGACAGCTTTCAACGGAACTTTTCACGTGTTTCATTACTTTGGGTCGAAAAACTCACATTCGTACGTGTCTCGAGAGAAAGGGGTCCCTCAAAGCATGTGTGATTTTGAACAAGCCATTGGCCGGTGGCTTACGAGAATATGGCTGACAAACATGGATAACACAGATAAAAAGTTGCCACCAGACCCCTTGAATTCAGACTACTGAAGTGGGAAACACCATCTGGAACTTTTATCAGACCTACGTGTACGCATGCGGATAAAAGATGCCGAGGTATATTTCTCTCCAATACAGTCATTCACATAATGTCAGTAGACCGGCAGGTCGCCGAGGAAGTTAAAGCTACCAAGATAAGATCTCGACCACTACGTCCATCTATGGCCGCCCGAGCGTGAATTTTTTATGGCATGTGGCATACGTACAAAAACAACCCCCACTGGGGCGACCAGGCCGTTGTTTACTCAGAGTGTACCCTGTAAAATTATAGTCTGACGGAGGTTGATATCATAGTAATAACTTCAAAAACTAGGGTCAAATTAAGCTTTCATACGTCATATGTAGAGGATTTAGCCTACTAGTAAGACGAAAACTAAAAAAAATCAGATCAAGAAGTCCTTCTCTTGTGCGGGATGAAGAATCTGTCCTCGTTGAGAGGAGCGTTACTCTACACCAGAATCAAGTAGTTTTCTTCTGGATGGTCTTTGATACAAATGAGCACTCGTGGAGAAACAGTTGCAAAGTACTCCGTGTTGCGATCTGGAGTGGGGAATCAAATTTAGTTACAGTGTTGTCTCTCGAGAGAGAGAGCTATTTCCGTGGATCCAAATAATTCCTTAAACTAGAGGATTCCCTTGCGGGGAAGATGACCAGTTAGAACCGTATTGCATATGTTCTCACTGGGGTTATGAAAGTTGACTTGTATCCGGGTTTGTAGTAGCTTTCGGGAGGATGTAAAATTAAATGCTCCATATATTCAGTGCTATCGTTTTCATAATTCACAAAAACTGGCGTAACATGGTGAACTCACGTAATGGTCGTCAGCTGGGCCACTAACAGTCTGCATTTACTTCATCGGGTTAAGCTTGGATAGCAGCCACTAAACAGAGATAGGATAATCGTTTAGCTGTAACTCCTTTCGGTGCCTAGCTCGCATGTCACCAGAAGAAGGCACGAGGGCTGATATACTGCCAGGTTGCCCAAGCCTAAACAGGAGGTTGAGATGCAGAGGCCCCCTCAGGCTAACACGTGTTGCTTCACCCTGTTCTCCTAACCAGTTATCTTTAATTGGTACGTAAACTGTGAAATAGCCTGATGAACCACCCTGTGGACATATTCAAGGCTAAATAGATAACTTCACGTCAATTCGTCAGAAAGCTCACTAACGTAGCGGATGAGTGTTAGCCATCCTCATGACATCAATTCTTTGGAGTTATAGTCAACTAACAGATCTGATTTAGAAGCATAGAGCACTTTCATTGTGGGGCCAACCTACGCAACCGAAAAGGCAGTTGAAGGATCGGGATGTATCTCCTATTTGTTTCGGGGGAGTGGCTGTCTGACTATCTTCAACGTCGTCATCAGTAACAGCACAAAACTACTGTTCAACACCGATGCTTGGCCACCATCTCTTCGAAAGGGACTCCAAGTAAAAAGAATGCCGTGCTCCCAAAGCCGTCTCCTCAACAAGGGTTCCCTCTCGAAAGGACACTTACTAAGAAAAGTGACCAACAGGACCCCAAGCCATACCCTGTGAGTAATACGTACGATCATTAAGTGCCACCTAATAGAAGGTCGTGAAGAAGGTCATCATAAAGCAAGCGTACGACGCCCAGGTTTGTGAAGTATGCAAAACTTAGGACCAGAATCAACCACATGGTTTCCCGGTAGTGTTGAAATGCACAGAAAAAAGGTTGTAGGTACGAAAAGAGTGATGCAACGAAGTTTTTTCGGCGTATAGGATGACGTATTGAAAAGTATAAAAACCTCGCAAAACTTAGAAAATGTCGTCTGAGGTTGCAAAAATACATAAATGGGACTAAAGTGTGGTCTGCTCCAGACACAGCAATGCCATAAAAAATGAAAGAAAGCAAGAAGAGATATGGTACATATTGTCGCTTCGCATGACTCACAGGTCGTTAAGAAAGCGAACAAACCCAGAAGCGAATTGGTTGGAGCCAACGATTCCAAGAGAATCGATACCAGCAACAGCAAGGTTCAATGTGGATTCGGACAGCTACAAAGAGTAGCAAGAGAAAAGTAGGAATCTTGACAACTTTCACCAGTAAACTGTACATATCCTGATGGTCACGTTGTTTTGATACATCCGATATAATGGTGTATGAAAGTGTGAGAATGTGCCAACGGGAAAATCACCAAAATTTTTTTACACCAAAACGAATTTCCGAAATCTGGAAGCCCCTGGTCCCCCTAGATTGGGTACATCTACTACAAATACGAAGACATGAATATGAGAGCTAACCGAAAAAAATGTACCTTTCACTCATCGTTATCCATAGCCGACAGACCGAAGTATGATCCAGTTATGCTGGTATTTGCCATTATGACACACTCCCGCAGAACTCCACAATCCCCGCTGTCACGTCGGACACCAAAAACTACACCCCTATGCTCCACACACAGAATGGGTCAGTGTACTTTACAGCGGCACATCTGAATTGATTTCACTTGTACCAGCATTGTAACACTTCTCACAAGTGAGCGCCACAGACGTATTGGATTTAGGAACGAAGATACACCTCTGTGAACCAGCTGTATTTGCCCTAAGGAATGCAGTTTAAGCATTTTTGGACTACCCCAAAGAGCAACCTGTTTGCCCACATTTGCAGGAGTGTAACTCACCCTTTGGATGGTCTATATTATCAACGGGGTAATAACTTCCCCGGAAATCTTACTTTACTATTTTACGTTAGTTTACAGCGACTTCCACCGGAGACAGGTGAATCGACTTCAAGAACATCCCAGATTTCTACTGCCCGTGTATTACGATCCGCAGCAAGGTCTGAGTATGCTATCCAATTTCTGTTCCACTGTTTCGTCCCGCAGACCACCTGCAGACGAAGTAGTTCAAACTCAACCTTAAATGTAAAGTCAGGCTTTCAACTATCTTCCATTGCGACAACTGATCAGTGGCAACGGAGAAACTTTGGATAGTTCAGAGCCTGAAGACGTGTTCCAGCCACTGTAGTCTGCGTTGCTATGTCAATTCGAAGTGGCCTAAAATGTTATAACAACGGTCTATGACACTAATATTGTATATTTTGTAATTCCAAAGTATTTTGAATATTTTCCTTAATCACCAGGACTAAGCGAGGTAACGAAGTTATAAACGCCATGTGTATGTGTGAAGTTGGCAACCGCGTGATGCTGAGGTCAAGGGTATCGGGCAATCGACGATTGCACTTCAACTTGATCAACTCCAATCGGGACGAAATGCATACTGGATGGTGTTTTCTCAAAATGACGAAACAGTAAACTATAATCCTCAATACTGGATAAATTTCGTAATGATGAATTTGAATTTTGACGAGACAATTCATGCTCAGTAACATGCGTTTGGTAGCCTTCTAAACAGCCTTCTACATAAATTCGGATGCTAGAAAAACGGAACCCACAAAGAATATACACTATAACCAGATGGACGGCTGACACATTCACTTAACTGAAACAGTCCTAGAACCGGATGAAAATTATCCATTCACAAACACTGGAAAAAAAACTAAATTTGTCATATGGTATGGTTATTTGAAAAAGCAAGGTAACAACGAAAAGAACCAAACTTGATCATATGAACATCTGCGGAACCAGCAACAAGGCAAATTCTCCACAAATCTGGTCCCCAACTGCTACTCCTCGGTGCCATGTACACCAGAAATCAATGAATCCGATGCAACCCACCACAGAAGATAGTCAATTTACCGTATAAAAAACAAAGCTCCGACACCGATCTAAACTCACGTCAGTTCGCGCCCAACTCAATCTATCAATGAATTTCCTAGCTATAAAACGTGTGCCACAGGCACATTGCTTCCAGCTGCTACGGTTTCGGGAGAGTGTGGGACATACAGTCAAGCCTTGAAGGCGATGACGTTCAGTTTATTCGCAAATTGGGTAGCTACGCATTGGAAGCTTTAATGAACGAGCGCCATTGACTGCTCGATTGGACCAGTTCCGCCAATATCATTAACCACTGGTAATTTGAGTCCCGGGGTCCCCATCCAGGGAGGCGGTAGTTGCCAACCCGACTAAATTTACTAGCCAGTTTTTTTTCGTACTTCGTTGCCAGGTCATACACTGTCCATCTCTCGGTCGCTTCCACTCAGCACAGCGCTGGAAAAAAACAGCTCTATGAGGCAGACGGTCTTTTGGCATGTAGAGTACATGACCCAACCAGTACAACCCATGAAGCGTGAGTAATTCATCTATCGCGGGAGAGTTCCTTCTTCCTAAAACCATCTGGCGTATTTCAGCATAACTAAACTGATGTTCCCACCAGATCTAACCAATACTGTGGAGACATCGATGATCAAACACTGACCTCTTTCATGTGTCCTCTGCGCGTAGGGGCCACGTCTCTGATCCGCAAAGCAGTATGGATCGCACCATCGTAGTGTAAAAAACTCTTCCATTGACAGACAAGCTCACGTCACGCCGGCTCCATAGGTGTCGGAGGTTGGCAAAAGCTACCCCGGCCTTTCTGATTCGAGAAATAATGTCATCTCCAGCCAGTCCACCGGAGCTTATACAGCTGTCCAGGTAAACGTCGATTGGCTCGCCTGCAAGCAAGAGGTGTGGGTTTGATCCCATCCAGTCTTGTAACATCACTCAACACTTTGCAGGTGTGAAGCACATGCCAAACCCTGCGGCAGGGTTATTCAGGTAATTTACAACCGTTTGCATTTGAAAAGGACCTGAACCAAGGAGAGCAATATCGTCTGCATACTAAATGTGTGTGAGGGAACGTCCCGAAAGCATTTCGACTCCCGAGGTTTCAGAGGCAGGCAGAGAAATTTCAAGCAGTATATCAATAACAAAGTTGAAGAGGAAAGGGAAAAGAGGACAGCTTTGTCTTACACTACTGGACGTGGGGAACTCAGGCGAGAGCTTCCCACATACTCGTACGCGCCCACAGGAGTTCGCATACAGTGCCCTCATAAGGGAGAGAAATTTGGAAAAAAAACCTTTGATCGCCAGACACTACCAAAGTTGCTGACGATCGACAGAATCAAAAACAGCTTTCAAATCCAGAAGAAGGACCAACGCTGGACGGGACGCCTGAAGGAGTGGCACTGTTCCAAGATTTGTCTCAAACTAAAGAGTCGATGCATCCTCGCCCAGGACGAAACACAACTTGGTTTTCACGAATCTGTCTCTTCCGAACCTTAGATGCAAAGGATATCAGGTTGATACTGCGTTCTTGCTCCCTTTTTGAAAACTGGGATGACGGTCAAGGAGCTCCATTCGGCTGGTATTCTGTTTCCGTTCCGAATTTTCTGCAGTATGGTTGACAGACTGTTCAATAGGACCTCCCCATCTTCTCCGAAGAGCGCGGAGTGTAGACCATCCGAGAAAGGTGCCTTATCGCGCGCTGGACTTCGGTTGCTGATGGCGCTTTGGTGTCAATGTTCCATTCGGGTCCGCTTCGTTATTCCAGCGGGTGTGTCGCAGGAGACCAGCTGAATTGTTCTTTGAAGTGCTTAGCCCACAGCTCAAGATGACGATTGAGAAAGTGAATCGCTGTCCCGTTTTTTTCGCATATTTTTTCACTAAATTTTGACCGGCTGACTGAATCAGTTGAAACAGCGCACGGCTGTTGCCTGCAGCGAAAGCGTTCTCCACCTCCTGGGCTTTCGAAATCCACCAGCGTTCTCTGCCATTCTGCAAGCTCCTGATTAGCCGGTGTTTGAAGGATTTGCATGCGCCACTATAGTCGCTAGTTGCTGGTATGACCTTTCTGGCAGCAACAAGATCCGCTGATCTCGAAGATATCCAGTACTCATTTAGTCGAGTCAGATGTGTTGGGCAAAATCCTGAGAGCAGACAGTATTGCTTCGCTAACTCGCCTCCATTCATCCTCCAAGCAATCTTCATCGTCCACATGACTGTGCGTTTCTCGTAGCTTTCTAGCCAGATCAGCTCTATACTCTTCAGTTACTGAAACTTGTCGAAGTTGACGAACCGAACTGCTCTCCTTTGGCAAGCGCAACGCTGAAGGAAAGCGCAGCGCTAAGCGGGCCCGCACGGTGGCGTGATCAGAGTAAAGTTGCGTACCCCAAAATGAACGACAATCCTTAACTGAAGCTCTCCATCGGGAAGTGATAGTCATATGGCCTCGGTAGCTTGGTATATGCGTTTCTGCTAGAAATTCGTACCGGCCAGGAACAGACGATGATCTGCACACAACTGAAGAAACCGCTCCCATTATCCGTACGCTCAGCACTGACTCCAAATCGACCACCTAACTGTGCTTCTTCCAGGCTTAGACGTCCAACTTGGGCATTCACATCACCCGCCAGGATTACTATATCCGTGCATCTTGCCGACCGAAGCAGTCGTGACAGATCTTGATAAAATTCGTCCGTCTCAGTCTAAGAACTGCTATCTGTTGGGGCATATGTTCGTACGACACACAAACACCGTTTACCGCATCGACCTGCGCTAATCTTACTTGAGCCAGGCAACCGCACAGCGCACAGGCGACTGTTTACTGGGATCCAGTCCAGTAAGCTGCTTTCAGCCTTGGGGCTGAGTGCAACTCCCACACTAATGCAACTGATGACCAACAGAATAACAATGCTAAGAGCACCTTAACAGTGAAAAATTGGCGTCGACGACCTTGTTAAAGCCGCGTCATAACTGCGGCAAAAAATCGACTGGACTAGGGAACAAAGATACTCACCAATGTTACATCGCCACTCTCGTCATACTGCTTCATTCGCTCGAGGAAACTGATCAAACTTGTCATCGATAGCTCAACACGGTTCAACAAATTCCAGGTAGTTACGACAGGTGAATTGAACAACAAGACATAGGCTGGTAGCCCCTGGTCAACCGATTCGGTCGGCGACCGACCTGTTCGGAGTAACAGAGCTGAGTCAAGCAGAGCCAGTGCCAGTTGAGTACGCAGTTCCGTTGGAAGAACAGAAAGTGCCTGATTTCATGGAAAGATAATATTCTGAATGTAAGTATACACATATACCTAAAGGTTAAGACGCATTTACGATGACCGTCCACGTTGTCTTTTTGTAATCTGAAGAAATTTAAACTGGCTTTCGACCATTAACATACATATGGAGGCGTGTTGGGAAATTGAGCTGAGTTGCTGTGCACTTTACATAACGATGTAGCTGAAGATTTACCACTATCTTGCAATGTTATACAAATGGCGGTTAATTTATAGCTGCATATACACACTAGACCAGGTCCAACATCGAATTCTGTCGGTCGTTCCAATCGGCTCTGTAGGCCCCCGCCTAGATGTCACTTACTTCATGTACTAACGGTATTGCCTCAGCACAGCTCTCGGTCCGACACAGTGTATTAAATGCATTAAAACCGATGAAAAACGCATGCACAGTGTTCGCACTTAGAGCGTGTGCAAAGGCAACATTCTGGAAGTTCGAACGCCTTCTGAATACGACATTAGTAAGTGATACTGAAATCTAACTGGCTGTTGGGTTCCAATTTTCGACCAATCAGAGCGCGCCTGACGCTGGACTAGAAAGTCGCCCGATTTTCTTACCAATCAAGTGCAAATTAGGCCTAATGGCCGCTGCAGCGCCTAATTGCGAGCGGCAAGGCGATTTTGGCATAAGACTGCGCCGGACAGGAGCCTAATAACTCTCCCGCTTGATGGCATTTTATTCACTCCAGAGTGAATAAAGTATATAATTAAGCAAGACGAAATCCAAGAAAGAACCAGAAAACGAATAATCGAGAAAAACATTGTTCAATTTCAATCACAACACAAAGCCGTCATTCAGTTTCAAAGAAGGCGAGACATTCTGTCGGATAATGGGGATCATCCTAGTGAACAAATTACCTGTAATGCTTAGGTACAGAAAGCACTGATTTAACCAAATTGTGGTGGCATGCACACTGATTATAAGAACTGCACTAAATTGCACCTAAATTGCATTGGATAGGAAATGGGAACATTATTTCCGCGTCCAACTCACCGTTTCAGGAGTGAATAGGGTGGTGATCAGATTGAATATATGTCCAAAAACGGAAAGATAAATATGCCTCTCGTAAGCATAGGGAACAGCATTGCTGGAAACCAACTGAATCAACTCGGATGCACTCCACGAAGTAGACATGCCATCTTGCTGACTCCAAGTAGATGACAGCGCGCATAGCAGAGGGCCCCAGGGTTCCAAAAAGGCAGCAAAGTTACCAGGCTATATAAGAATAAAGCAGTTGGGGAAAACTGGTATGATAAACAGTAGCAAGATTACCAATAAACCTGAAATACTACGAAGTCAGGGGACTTTCAGTTAACAGCTGAGCCGACAACAGTAAAACTGTCTCGCGAGTTCGACCAAAGGGTAAGACCAGAAAATGCAACAATACTTGTCTCGCAGAGAACATAAAACAGAATAGGTGAATTAGGATCCGTATGCAAATAAAAGACAAGGACACCAAACAGGCCAGCATGGAATAGGGCAGCACTAAAAGGGAGAGGTAGACATTAATTCTGCTCGTGCGGGTAAAATAAACATACATGTACGGGTTCATCATCATCCGAGGAGATAAAAGAGCAACAGTTATCGTCAGGTCTAGTTTGCACAGATTTTACAACCTCTCACAACCTTGTATCGATCAAATCAACTTCTACCTTGATTATTATAAGCTCGAAAAATTGCGTTATCTTCCATCACGAATATGTTTAAAACATGCTATAGGTTTAGAGCAACGACTCTGACAAGTGGTCTAATGCATCGCCACTAATTGCATTGAGTAAAGGCATGTTTATGCCACAGTTTCATTTAGAAATCCAACTGTGGTAGACTCAAAGTCTTAAGGTTTCAGCATCCAAATCCCCAGCAACCTGAACTATAACGCAATCTGCAACACAAATGTCACAGGTACACTTAAGAAACTCCTGCCTTGTGTTATTTGTTAGTTCATTTAATTCGATCGTCTTTCTGTATACCACAGTGACGTTGATATCTGTCTAGCAGTCTACTCAATGCAAGAGAATGATTATGCGACTGTTATTCTGGAAGGCGAACTGTCTCGCAGCATCCGAACTTCTCGTGACCTTCTCCATTCCCTTCCGCCACCTCATACTTGTCTCATTGGCTTGGGCCATTGTGCATACATTATTTAGTGATTTCAATAAATGGTTAGTGCAACAGTGATATAGCCGACTCAAGGCAGATTTCATATTCACGCCTTGTTTGCCATTGCTCGGTCGGACTCTTCTGATATAAAGCCTTTCTAAAAGAAACAAATAGAACGACATGCATCACTGGAAGTAGGAACTTGAACCTACCCAAGCCTGTAATGGAAGCCGACATTTGAGTGGCTATATGAAATCTTTCTGTTCCCTGTCAACAAACACCCTATATTTTAAGGTAACATTGTTCATGCCAATGCGGGGCTGTTTAATGGACTCTGATGAGGGAGACTTGAGAAATGATGTAGGAACAAACGAGATATGAGGTCGGAACACTCAGCTCAACTCACTAAATATCTTAAGTATGATTTATGGCAAAGATTCTCATGGAAATTATATATTGACATTTACGTGAGGAGACGAATTTGATCGAATATAATTGAAGATTTTGTTAAAAGGTCACTTCTTAAAGTACCTAGAAGCCGAATGCACCTTAATCAGTAGTGCCCTTTCCTTAGGAGGAAATACTGTACTTTTTTTGAAAAACCAGCAGCATACAGAAGTACTGAGGAGCAATGTTAGTGAAGTGTGCCTTTCGTAAACGGATACGTTTCCCAGGAACGAACGAACTCGAAAATTTGCCGAATTCCTCCCGTACGACCAGTTTAACACCACTGGGTCCACAGCCTACGGTGCAGGAAAGCCACGATGGCAAGACTTCGTATTAACGTACCAAATCACAGGGATTGATAAGGTCACGTGCTGGTGGATTACGACGCATCATCCAACTGGTACAACAATCTTCTGGGTCAGAGGAGGTGAAAACTGATCCCGTCCGCCTTTTCATACGATCAAGTGGTGCAACGCTAGTTAACATCAAATCGACTGCTAAACGCATCAGACACAGCAGTTCAGCTTCCAGTTGGTATTTGACTTCGGTTATCCCGAAACTCCGGTGTCTCGAATGGTTCACAGCTGATTGACTCGGAGTTGGAAACGCCAAATGCTGGGTGACTAGGTAGTGCAACGCATTGCCCACAACAACCAGCACGTCCAGACAGAACGAAAAGAGCGGGTATCCACCTGGTCGATCACAGTCTATGGTGTTTGGTGTTAAGCTGTTGAAATAACATGAAGAACGAAAAAGCGGGTATCCACCTGGTCGATCACAGTCTATGGTGTTTGGTGTTAAGCTGTTGAAATAACATGATGCGAACAGAGTTTGGCGGTTGGATGAATTCCTCACGACGTGATCGGTTGACGACAGACGGTCTGCATTGTTCGTAGAAATCGTATGGCCGTCCACCGACCTGACGTTTACATCGGCAAAGGAAAGAAGAAGCTACCTGAGCATCCAGAAGGTGAATAACATGAACTCAAAAGCAAAAGAGGAAATCCTCCTGCTATCTACTGCTTCCTGTCAAATTGTAAAAACTAACTGATCGCAGTGGGCAGTGAATAGCCAAGGTGCGAGCACCAAGTAATTGGAGATACAGCTGCCGTCTTATGAACCTGTAGTATGCATCCACTCTGAAACTCACGCACGAAACCTAATAAAGGAAAACTACGACGAACTGGCAGGAGCGATATACTCCATAAAAAATTATGTGGCTAGGTCCACAAAAGCTCAGTCACACGAGGATTTTCACTCCTTTTGAGGCTCGCCAGGTGGTCGTAGAAGTATCGATCAAGTGGCTACTCGGTTAGCAACTACAAACCACTAACCTCAAAGCCCACCACTTATGGAGCTAGCTAATTTGATTTGGAAGGGATAAATGCAGAAACGTCTACTCTTCAGACTGCATTGTGCGCACTCAGGTTCTTACTCAGTACCGCACAAGGTGTGGTTTGTTGTCACCGGGCGCCAACTCTACCGAATGATACGGCTACCCTAGAATGTTCTACAAAAGTGTAAAGGTTGCACAATCGGTTTGATTTTCGCAGGCAACGTTCACTTGTTCGATCAGTGGTGTGTGCCTATCGTATTGCCATGTCTTTTGTCCTTAGCATTTGGTTCATGTCGTCGGTTGAACATCATACATGTAGTGGGCACTTCCGCTTCTGGATTCTCCCACCTAGTTGACTCGCCGAAAGCAGTAGGAGGAGGCAGACGACTGTAGCATGCACGTCCTCAGTAATAATACAAAGGATAGCGAAATACACTCAGTTGCAAACTAATTTGGTTTTCGCGAGAGACTCATCTGAAACCCAGCTGAATCTCTCGTTTGTAATGTTCCCAGGCGACTGAATGTGCTGCACCAGGCCCCCTCAGTTTCAGTCGCTACGATATTCGAGATATCGCAATACATGTATATCCGTAATGCACTACTCATAAGGTTGCTGAAAAGTTGTCGACAACCCACGACCAGTTTCGCCCTCTTCGGGGCTCATCAGGTGGGCGTAGTCCCCGAATTTCCGTCAACCTTATGTCTTACTTGAACTGAGTGTAGTTCGCTAATTTCGGGCAATTTGATTTCGAGTAGAACATATGGTTGAGAGAAACTCGGGGACTGCGCCTACCTGATGAGCCATAAGAAGGGCGAAACCGGTCGTGGGCTGTCGACGAATTCTCAGCAACCTTATGAGTAGTGCATTACGAATACAAAGGATACTTTTCAACAGCACAGTGCCATAATTCTTAATTGTTTATCAGTGTGGCCACTTGCAAAAGATCTGACTACCCTAAAATTTAATGTACTGATCTGTTTCCGCTGTCTATCCGAACCAATTTGAAGGCGCTCATAAAAGGAATAAACGTAAACTACTTTCACGCCTGCCACTTACATCTGCCCCGGAATCTGGTTGTTCAAAGACTCCACCGTACTAACGTATCCAAAACCTGAAACAATGGGGAAAATTATATGGAAGTATACTAGTTTTACCCGGGAAGAAAAATTCAACAGGACTGCTAAACCCAATCAATTAAGACTCGTAACGTATTGGCTAATGATTCAAATGTGTTTGTGAAATTTCAAAGAACTTCTTGATCGAACCGCCGGCATCAGCCATCTTTTGTCCGACATGCTAGCTCCAGCTTCTGAACAGCCAAGTAGGAGCTAAAATGGTACAGAAGTGCCGAGAGTACTGTGCTGATTGCGTCGTTCCCCAAACTTACGTACAACGGTGGATACAGTTAGAAAGAACTTCGCGAAATTTCTAACCGTACAAAGATGAAGTGTGAAAATGCCATTGAAACTTCGCTGACCGAAAATTTCTCAGATACACGTGGTTAACCTTCAGCTGGTTTAACGAAAGGGCAGCAAGGCGACCCGTGGACTTTCATTCTCTGCTGAATCTTGAAAGCGATTTAGCTTACTTACCGTACTCTGAAAAGCGAGCTAGCCAATTCCAAGCAAATCTTAGCGCATGCCCTGAAAATAGGAGAAATTCGGTATCCCTGCTGGTATCAAACACCAACGCCTTCACACATGCACTAAGATGGATTATTGCAAGACGGAACTAAACAATGGGAGAAGAGAGACAATATAAGCCACTGGAACAGCAATGCGAGCAGAGTAAACGATTGAATTCATTGTTTTTCTATATGACGTTTGACTTCGGTAGCCAGAACGTAGTACCGATTTACCTAGTTATTACAGCGTTTCAATTAACCTTCTTACTAACAAAGATTTTCAATTAGGAAGCGTCAACATGGCGAAAAAATGCATCTCAAAATAACCAGTCGCAAAACAGTTCACTAGGTTTAAAGTTTTGCTTCGTGCAGCGTTTCCGTCATTACTCGGAGCGAATTACTGGAATGAGGTCACCAAAACAGGCTAGTGTACTGTTCGCAATAAAGTGTACAAAGGCTGAAATGTAGATGAAAGCGAGCTGCACGTGTGTATGAGAGTTTGAACAGACATCCAGTGGTTCATTTCGCCAAGATCTTTGGAACCTGACAGAGCCATGAAAAACACCACAGTCATCCATCTCATACTTCGATCAATCGTTCTCCATCGTGCAGGTTCCGATCTACACCTTTTCACTTATTGGGATGTTCTGCTGTAGCATCCTTTCGTGTCCAACTGCCATGCTACCAGAAGTAAGTACAGGGTCTGGGATACTGCCAGGTTGCTCAAGCCTAGACAGGGGGAATCGAGAGGCAGAGATCGGATTTGAACCACAGACCTTCCGATCAGTAAATGCGCTCACTAACCACCGAGCCATCTCGCACCTTTCGGTATCTACACCTAAAGCGATAAGATGCAAAGCAAAGTGCAGCCATCTGCATCCTTAAGCCTCAAAACCATACTACTCATCCCTGCGTTCAGGTGTCCGAATTACTAATAAAACAAACCGATGGGGTAAAGTGAGTTAGCTATTTGTCTGTCATATGCAGCAAGATGATGGTCACGCATGTTCAAGTGGATGAGCGCATACAAAAGACACCTGGGTAGCATAGAGTTTGAAAAAGGCAAAGTTCAAGATAGCAGATGTTTGTTTCTGGCACCTAAGTCCTATCGTCTCAACTCAGCCGCAAAGTCAATCCACTTATAGGTATTTCTGAGCTCAGCTCGTGTCATCGCACGAGAGATCAATTTGGTTTGCAACCCCAGTAACGCAGATGGACACCCTATGCCTCAGCCTTATCCGTCAGGCGCCTGGACACGACCCTAAATGAGAAAGTTCAGCTGGGTAGCACAACTCAAAATCACACAATTGCCTTGGTTGGAAAGACCGACCAAGGCATATGAGCGTAATTTGCTGAGTAATGTAGAAATAAGAGTCTGGCATGACAAAGTTGCCAAGATTCTCAGTGAAGTTTAGAATTCAATTGGACGGTTCGATACAGATTAAAATAACTGCGGTAACGTACAACCCATTTGGATGTGCTACTGATGAGGAACGGTCTGTGTGCATTCTTTAGCGATTAGTGTAAATAGCCAGAATCTTTGCGGAATAGGCACCAGGACCACAGGGCAAAATAAGGGCTGACTGCGCAGTAACACGAGGAAACCACAGATTCCAATACAGATGAAAACGATGGGTCCCAAAAAAATCATACGGGCACCAAACTATGCTAGGGACACGGCTTACCAAGCGCTAAAATTCCAGATAACATCTTCCTAAAACCACTACAGAACTCTGCTGGGATAAAACACTAGTAAGCAGTTCTCCGCTTAAAAGTGCAGAAAAAGAAAGAAATACGGAGACTAGGAGAATAACATATGAATTAGGAGAATCCTTTTGGTTGTCATACCAGGAAACAGACAGTGGTTGTTTGGATCCAAATGGAAGTAGATGCGATTGATGAGCTTTTCGCAGAGTCGACTGAGAGCACGCGCCGCTGCAAACATTAACTGAGTTTTTGTGGAGCCAATCATTCCCAGAAAGGTCTGTATGAATGCAGAGGGGGGTATATCCACGGATGTGCTCAGTTCATGATTTTTCCAAAATGCATATTACAACGAAACACATCTTTAAAACTCTATGTAAAGAAGATTACTGAAAATGGATTCATTTAACTAGAAAACAGATGACAATAGTTTCACTCCACACAATGATAAGTACTCGGTGCATACAAAATTATAAAATCGTGTTTCAAACAACCCCTTGAAATCTTATGAGAAGTATCGGAGTTTTCAGACCGGAGCATCATACACTTCCATTGAGAAATTCGCAAAGAGGTTATTAAAAACTGGTAATGGCGATGCGACAGGCATTTCAACCAGCCCCGCAAACAAAACCCAGCGATATACGCACTGGGAAGTATCTAACAGTGTCTAATATAGTAAAAAAAATTATGGAATGGTTGCACGAATGACGTCTTCCCAGGACAGTCGATCAGTTACAGACAATCAGAACACTGGACGTCTAGAAAAGTGGTTTGAAGGCGAATAAAACAAGAGAACGGAGATACAAAATATATAGAGAGATTGGTGTCCCAGATATCTAAATTGTCCGACTGGGCATAGGCGATTCTAAATAACTATTAGACTAGCGTTAATTGCCCTTTCTAACCTATTCCATTCTTTTGTCGGCTATTGTTCACTGAGCTGGGAAGTTTTATACAATCGCCACCACCAATGGGGATGACGTCAGCATTGCTCCAAATCATGCACCAAAAAGATGCTGACGTGGACAACAGACGCTTGTGAACAAAGCCCGATTACTTGCATCTGGATTAGGGAGCCACCGCCGTAAGGTGAGCGGTAAGGATAATAATCACAGCCTACAGACGTGCCCAGTTGTACTGCTTTGCCTTGGTACAAAAAGATTCAGCCACAGTTTACATCCTTAAGGTAAACTTGGTCTGTAAAATGAAGTTGAGCGAACAGAAGTAGTTAGCCAGGAACTTTATGCAGATAAACCGGAAAGCTCTGGCCCGGGGATCGAGTCATGATGTAGTCGGATCATGACGTAAGTCTCATAGAAAATGCTTGGTATATGAGCACACTCGATATCACTTACTTCGACCAATGCAGGTCGCTGAATGAAAACTTCAGCCGGAAAGTCTTCTAGGATGACGTCTTGGAAGAAGTTAATGCCAGAAATCGCAGTCTCGTTATCTGTGGACTTGACTGTGCTGAACGGAGGGTAAGGGCTCGGAGAGGAAAACACCCACCTCACCTGATTGAGGTTAGGAGTACATCCATGTCTGTCTTCGTGAGGAGTAAGGTCGGAAATTCGACGAAAAAATCTTCCATGAAAGAAACGAAGACAGGACATGAAATATCAACATAAACCCCAATCTTAAAAGTAAGCGAATAACGAGCACAACGTTAACCAAGACACAATGGGCGAGATACGCAAGCCATACCGTTAAAAATCTGACCAGATGACAACAAAGGATTACAGATAAAGTTATCGATGGCTTTTGTGATTAAAGTCTCTCCGAATAACGTTCTCTTTTGAAAAAGGTGATCATAAAAAGAGAACGATTTTTCCCCGATCCATTTTGGAGAGAACACCCCACACCAAAGAACGCCCGATCAAAAACTAACTTGTGGAACCACCTGTTACTGTAAGCACAAGTGACTAAACGACATAAAAACAGTTCCGGGGCATGTCATAGGCTGCGCTCAGCAACCAACACAGAACGAAAAAGACAACCGCTGCAACAACCAAAAAATGAAAACCACCATAATCATTATCAGCAGCAGCAATAAGGACACATTAACAGTAAATACTGGTGCTTGACTATCATACAACCACGAGGAAAGAGCGCACTAGTGGACAGCTGAGAGAAAAAAGTGCGGACCTATTGAGAAAGTTCCATATCCTCATGGAAAGCGATGAAGATTTTGGTGATTGCGCTTTAGAATAGCAGCGAGATACACAAATTTCAGTACCGTATCGGAATATGTTTGGAATCGATCCACAAGTTGTCGTTCCAGGCTGTGCACCAAATCTTCATGAAACAACGAATGACAGTGGGCTCTGTCTAGAACTGACCTGCACTACTAATAACACCCTGTTCTTATAAGAAACGATAGAGTCATGAAGTACAACTTCAAGTCATTCGGATGCCAGAAATGAGTGAAGAACTGTCGTTTTGATGAGCTCTGTTCATACGAGTAAGTGATAATGCGCAGCAATTAACAGACAAAACCTGAATGATAACGTAGTTCACCTATACACATCTTGCAGGAGACTACTAGAGGCTTGAAAAACAGCAATAAGGAAGAAGTAAACCAGACGGACCGGAAATCCAGCACTGCAACGTCAGTCGGTGGTGTAAGTGCTCATAATCAATTCGCATTTACAGAGAGATCTGTAGGAAACGATTAGTATATTGTCCGAAACGTCCACGAAAGACCAAATAACCGAGCGAACAACCGTGGATACATTATTAAGTGATTTGGACGTATTTAACTTCAAGGGAGCAGGGCCCCTCTCGAGAGAATCTTCCCCCATAAACAAAGGAATATGCTCGGTCCAAACAGTCTTCCTCCTAAAGGCAAGTCATCTCTCTATGAGACGAGAAATGCAAAGGGTCCTGAGTGAACGAAACGATGTATTGCAGTGAAAACTCGATCTGAATTGTTTCATCTAGATTAGTAGAAATTTTTCACACAAAAACAACCGACATAGTACAAGACCGTCTATATATTCTAACAGAATACGAGAGGGGGCGAAATGGCTTAGGTGGTTAGAGCGCGAATTTACTGACCAGGAAGTCCGTGGTTCGAACCCGGCCTCTGCCTCTCAGCTGCTCCTGTATAGGTACGGGCAACATGGCAGTATCCCAGCTCTCGTGCCTCCTTCCGTTGGCATGGAAGCTGGCCACCGAAAGAGGGCTACAGCTGAACGGTTTTTTGCACCTGTTCCCCATCACTTGTGAACACTGCAGTTTCGAAAACAAAAGAACTATCGTGGGTATCGAGGACCCGACTGAACTCCATCCGAATGTCTCGTTTATGACATCCAACGGAGTGGGCTGCATACAGGTCACCTCGCGTTTCAGGTGGTACGGTATTCAAGATATCGAAGTGTGCTGCCTTGACTTATAAGACCACTAAAAACTCATTTCAAATATCGAGCTAACTGAAAGGACGGTAAAACCGGCAGTATTCCCCAAGGTTGAGTAGTGTATTAAGTCAAGGTGATGAATCTGTTTCATCCACGAGGTGAAGACTTTTGGCCCTGAGTATGAAGTACGCTCATTTTTGTTCTGTATGAGCTTGAAGTAAGGCTGAGCAGTAAGACGTTCTTGCAGCGATTTGCTGGAATGCCGTTCTGAATGGGAAAAAACTTTTATGTTCCTGTCAGTATCCCTGAAAGGAGACACTGGTATGGAGCTCATGTACCATACTGCTTGAGAATAGAAACTCCTTAAAATGACAGCACTATCATTCAGTATAATAATAATAATAATAATAATAATAATAATAATAATAATAATAATTCAGCTGTAACACCCTTTCGGTGCCTAGTTGCCATACCAACCAAAGGAAGCACGAGGGCTGGGATAACCCCAGGTTACCTCTGTCTAGACAGAGGAAGTCGAGAGTCATAGGTCGGTTTCGAACTATAAACCTTCCGGTCAGTAAATTCGCGCTCTAACTACTGAGCCATCTTCCCCACTATCATTCGGTGCCCCCAATCTAATTATACAGGATGAAATACCATGTGACTGTAGGTCAACCTCGCTAGAAATATGTGAAAATGTATGGATGGAATAACAGCTAAGCAAAATCATGACTGGACAGCATACCTGAATTGGTGGTAATTCTCGAACTCCCATCAGAAGGACCGGATATTCTATGTTCTTCGGGGTTGTTGGAGTTAGATGGGATGAGTGAAGTAAAACTCTCTGGAACACCGGTATGGTGCAGCAACTTCCGTGGGTCAGTTTGTGACATGGAAAAAGTGGAGCTGGACGTCAGAACACTCGAACCACTAAAATTGAAATAACTAGACGGTTGACAAAAATCTGCTTTCTGTTGAGGGACGGAATTTGAAGAATTGACGCCACCGGAAATGGATGTCCCGGAAATGGACGCGAAAATAGCGTCAATGTACCCCTTTAGCTCGTCGTCCTTCAGTTTGTTACGCGCTCTGCTAAGAATTGCCAGTCCATCGGCATACACAAACTCCTTTTGTGATTGCGGGTCCTTCAGAGACAAGTTAGGACCTGAAATAGAGTATCACCTTAACAACTGATTCCAACAATCGAATGACCCTAGGCGTGCTCAGCAGTGGGTTCCGATCTAACCATTCAAGCAACTTTTTGATCAAAAGTTTTGAAGGAAGTCGGTCTGTTGGGATCAGTTCATGTTGGACTTTTGAAGAAATGCTATCAAGCGCGCGACACTTAATTTCGTCGATGGGATGGTCTACAATGGAAGATACGATCCTACGAAAAATAGGATTTACCCAGTTTTGAGATCAGTGCATTTAGACAGTGCTGTCCCAAGGAATATACGGCCATCGTCAAAGTACGAGCGATTTATGACTTCCAAGCTGACAAATAGACGAAGTAAGTGAACCAGCATCAGTTTACAAACGCGCAATAAAGCTGAAAAGTTTGGAGTGGTTAAAAGCAATGGCTTTTACATAGAAGTGGGGGAAACAAGTGAGCAACATAACCTGTAAATACCAGTGACGTAAAAACAAAACTGAAACCAAAGGGCTCATCAAGTAGAGGTGAGCAGAAGCACAGAAGGACGCGTGTGTATTCTGAAATGACTTGCTCGGATATTCTATAACTTGGCATGCGCATAAGATTAAATCAATGCACCAGTGAATCTGATCCCCTTATTTCAAGCAAAAGCCGCGCTAGTTTGAGTATAACGCGATGGCTGAGGCCATTGCATAGCTCCTGAATCCTAAGTTGTTTGTTAAGTTATACCACCTGTGCTCTCCAGCTAACGCACTAGCAAGACTACGAGGTGGCATGCTTCAGGCTACTGTGAGTTGTTTCACGAAATAGCCTATGAGATCAACAAGGCTGAAGTGCCTTAAGTTCACCATCAACCGATAGTTAGTGTCACGGCCTGTGTACACTCATACCAATGAATGGTGAGATGATTATAGAACCCGTTTGATTACTCGATCAGCATTGGAATTATCGATGATTGGGAATGGTGCGGAAAACGGTTGCTTGGTTGTGCAACAAGCACTCCGGCCGCGGAAAACATCCAGCAATATCAGCTGCGGTGGATCGATTTTCTAGGGATCCGAATCATCATTTACCGAAGCAGCTTGTTCCTCACACCTTCCTCAGAACGAAGCAAACTGTACCACGAGCATGTGACTTGGCACAAAAACGTTAAGGTGATTCAGAGTAGTGTGGTTTTTCTGCTGCAGTCTGCCTGGGGTCTCCATAAGCCCCATGTGTGGAGAAAGAAACTGCAAGAAATTGCATCAAACCGATGCCAGTGCCCTTTATTCGGTGGGTTTCTTTCTACAGTGTTCGCCTGAGCTCTTGGAGATGCAGACACCTCAAATTCTTTGCGGCAGGCGAGCACCAGGTAAGCTTTCCGTTCATTCTCCCCTTATTCCACCACAGGCTTTAAACCCAATTAAATAAGCCTTGTGGTTGTATGGTAGTGGAGCACCAACGTCAACACTGATGGTGCTGCTGTTGATGATAATGAATGGCGCAAAGTTTGAAAACCTGTCACTTGACAAGAGCAAGGGCAGTTAACGAAGGACCTATCTACCATCAACGATCCCATAGGGTGAGGTCGGCACGTCGCATTTAATAGATAAGTTGAGAGTGCAAAAGTAGCGTTGCCACTCTGTGCACCACTACTGTGGATAAAGTTATGTTGAGCTGAAGTAACTAGAGTGTTTGGAGGTAAGGCAGCAGACTTTTCACAGAAAGTCTTGTACTGTTAGAGGAAGATGTCCGCGGATTCTCCGAGGATGTTGGTGGTGCCGTTGCAAGTGGCGCGGGGAGGAAGTCCACCCTCGACCTTTCGAAGGTGGGCGATATGCGTTTACAGTAGATGGGGATTCAGCTAAAATCGAAGATCAATCGAGCACTGCCAAGCATTCTTGTCTGAGCGCACTAGTGAGATGCATCAATCGCGTCATATTCCCCAAAGGTGGGATCGCGGGTTTCTTTTGTAGCGTCTACATGCACAATCCCGCTTGTCCATCCACTTTTTGATTCGGTTCCTTATCTAACTTTTAACTTCGGGCATCCGAAACACAAGAGAAACACAAGTGATGACCGTCTCCCCATGCGTTGTCATTTAGTTGTGCTTCTAGGAAATCCAAGGTGTTGATCTGTTTTAGTCTTAGGACGGTGAGATCCTAACGAAATATTCGAACCTTTGTAACATTTAACTGAGATTTCATTTTCATCTGTTGTAGCCAACTGAGCTGCAGCGTTCCATTGGTTCATCCGCAATGTAGCCAGTCTTGATCCAGTTTCCTTTGTCTTCTTCTTTGGGATTTCTCATTCAAGTACTTAGATTATCAAAAGCGAAACAATAAGTTCCATCAACCTACTAAATCATACAGCAAGTACACTGTTACAATAATTAAGACTTCAGAGGCCGATGGTGGATAAAATTGCATTGGTCTTTAGTAATTGTAAAAAGAACACGACATCACAACGTCGCTCCGACGAAGTCACCTCGGTCGGTGATGAAATTTTTGCAACCGAATTGCTCGCTTCAGCGAACAAACACCGCACACGAGTAGGTTTGTAGTGGTGCAGGTATCAAGCTGGTCAGTGTAGACCGTGCACTGTAAGTCCAAGCTGATGTGGTCACAACGGCCCAATGGTGTCTGATATTCAACTGTGTCGACAATGAGTTCTTCATTTGTAAGAATGGCGTCCAGACTACAGGACCGTTGGTGCCTCTATGTCAGGTGGATTGTCTTGCGCTATTAAACAGTGGTGTGCATACCATTAGCTCGTGCAGTCACTCTCTAAACCCGTAACTACAAGCGGATATGTTGGCGACGAAATGCCGCTGAAGCATTTGAATTAATGTTCGACATGTGGTTCCCCTGTAACTCTTCCGATGCTTAGCTGCTATGTTATACAAAGGAAACATGAGGGTTTAGATACTGTCCGGTAACCCAAGCCTAGACAAAGCAATCGGGATGTCAAGAGAGGGCCCGAAATACAAACCTTCCGATTAGCAGGTTCGCGCCTTAATCACTGAGCACTCTCGAGCTCAGTTCTTGGGCGAAAGCAGCATCATTTCTTCGGTAAGTATAGAAACTAGTTGTCCGGAAAAAACGCCTTACAGTTTTTACACTCGCATCGAGGCGGACAACACAGACCTACAATGAATCGTTGAGTGGCGGTTTCGATGCTTTTTGACCGACTGCTGCTCTTTGACTTTTCTGACACGTTCAAGCATTGTGGAACAGCCACTGCAGCCTACGGGTTCAATGCAGCCCAACTACCAGGTCAACGTGGTAGCTTTTGATCGCGGTCGGTCTCCTAAGAAACCTATTATCCAAGAAGCCTACCAATAACATCATGCCCTTCAACTTTAACAAAAAGCGTTCGCGAGGCATTTTGCTAAGTGTTGTAATCAGTATGTGACACATGGACGGATGCTAACGCCCATGCTTCTCTAACAAGTGTGGGATTGGAGACATACACGACAATTTTGGAAGTGTAGAAAGAAAGAAAGTGGAACATACAACCAAACCTTGGAGACAAAGGCATGTTCCGTTTGTTCAGAAATTGGGAGCAGGCAAGAAGTCGGAGTTGGTTCAAGTCACAGATATTCCAGATCAGCGACCTACCCACTGAGCTATATCGAGCTCGAGATGGCTAAAGCACAACTTTTCCGGGTGACTCTGACATGAAAGTGCTCCGGAGGACTTACTCAAGTATAGAACCAACGAGCATTCTTTATGGTTTGTCTCTGTAGTACAACGCCGCGTCCTCTTCTAATAATCGCTGTTCAGCGGAAAGGAATGCTAACAACGCCGCTAAGAATGCGTCTGGCTTGAGGCAATAGTCTC